CAGCCCAGCTCCAGGTTGAGCTGTTGTTCAGCATCTTAGCTGTAGAGGGGCAGTGTCACTGGCCCTCATATGTGGGATCCGAACTGGGTCCTCTGGCGTCCCAAGCCAGTTCTTAACCATCGCGCCACTTGGCCAGCCCTACAATTTGACTTTTTGTAGGTGGCAACTTAGTTGCTTATTCAGTCCTTTTTCTGAGGAGAATTGGTCTGTGGATAGTAAAAGCAATAATGTTTCTTTTATGAGATTATTTTCTCAAGACTACAATTAATACGTAATCTATACTTTAAAAGTCATACATAAATGTAAGTGAATCTCTTCCACACTGTCTGGAAGTTTGGCTCCACTGGACATTTTGGCTACATTCTCATCTTGTCAAGCCAGGAGAGAATTTCTTTTCAAACAAGAGCTATATGAGGATAAGAATCTGCCTCCATTCTCCTCAATGGGTACTTGTAGAGAGGACAGGACCTGCTTTCTTCACTGTTATTACCCCAGTTCAGACTCCTTGGTTGTTTAAATAATTTCAGTAGGAACCTACTGATTTTCTGCTTCCAGGTTCTCCCTCAGCTTTCTTCCTTCTCCAATCTATTTGCAACACTCCTACCAGACTTTTAGTTCTGAATACAAATCCAGTTATGTTATTCTCTGTCTAAATTCTCTAATGGCTCTCCATTTGCCCATAGCATAAAGTCCACATCCTTTAAAAATGTTATTTTAGGTGCCTTGGCATCCAATTACATCCAATTACAATCTTCCTTTCTAGCAGAGTCTCCCACGTCTTTGCACCCAGTCCGTATCCTAGCCATGTACCCAATGTAGATGAGGCACCTATCACCATTTAACATGCTATGTATTTTACTTATTGTATTTGTCTGCCTCCTATTAAATGTAAGCTTACATTGTTAAATGGATAGTGATTTTTGTCTGTTAGGTTAACTGCGTGTATTTCTGCAATCTTAGAACAGCGCCTTGCACATAGTAGGTGCCTGGTCAATTTGCATGCATGATTGAATTTTTAAAAGCCAACCTATCTTCACATAAGTAAGTACACCAGGATTAATATTTTGTGCTTCCTATGTGCCAGAGACTGTTTCTCTTACTATTTTTAATCTATTTAAAAATTCTATTGAGAATTCTATTTCTCACATTAAAAATGAAATATATATATTTTTTAGTTTTATTCAAGGCATTAGGACATTGGTGGTTAATCAAATATTGGGAGTGGGGAATAAGTTGTTTTTAATGACTTGCTTCAACAAGAATATGATGTAATATATATATTGAGAAATTATATTCTAGGTAGCATTTTTCTCTAAGTGAGGAATAAGAAATCAAGTTGCCTTCCCTCAATAGCTGGTCTATAAACAGAAATCTTTATGCAGCTGAACCATTTAGCTTTCCTTATGTTCTGTGATCATAAATGCTGAATTATCACAGATTGCAACAGAGTGCAGATTTCCACCAGGAAAAAAAAAAAAAGGTTGTTTCTTTTTTTAGGTTGCTAATGTTTTTTCACTATTAAAATTTATTTCAAGTTGCAATTCAGTGCTTGGAGACAGTTTTTAAAATCAGCCCAGAAGATACCCATCTAGCAGTTTCACAGCCTCTGACAGAAATGTTCACAAATTCCTTCTGTAAGGTAAGCTGCCATTGTTTTCTCATTAGCATCTTATTTAAATATGATAGCAATATTATGTTGGATTGTTAATATTTCCGGGGCCATGCCTATAAGTAATTTCTTTCTCAGTACCTGTATAAGATAGATAGTCCACATGCATATGATTTAGGACTTAAACTATAAGTCTTTTAATGCACTTTAGGTTTTCATATTAGTAGCTATTATCATCCTCTCACCTTCTTTCATATTTAAGGGTATTTCTTAGTTGACTTTTTAAGTCCTTTACAGTATCTGAGTATTTTTAGGTTTCTGGCATCTGAACTGACATCCCCCTACAACATGGAATACAAGTTAAAAATTAAAGTTTTAATGTTTAGGAAGCAGCCATATAGAAATAGATTCATCAGGGATTGAAGCACCATTTTGAAGCAGATTCAATCAAATGTGGCCATCGATGGGGCTCTTTACAACAGGGAGAAGTTCAGGGCGAATGTGCCCAGCTAAGACTAAAGCCCAAGGTTTCTGATTCCTCCTCCCGAGCACTGTTTCCACGGCCTCTGGTCTCTGGCATTTTAGGAAACATGGACCACAAGTTGTCTGATAAAGTTTAAGGTCAGTGAGTGTAGGGCCCCATGTGTTTTTTCATTACATTTGGGTGCCTCACGCACCACTTTTGTTATTCTAGGCTCTGTATTAAGCTTCAGTAAAGAATGAGGAAGTCAGGGGAGAAGCTGAACATGGAGTGTGCATGTTCCTGGCAGGGACACCGCTGAGAATACCAAGCTGACTGTTTCTAGAGCTTGTTGAGAAGAGGTTCTTAGAGTTGCACTGAAGATGGTGATTTGGCAGTAAACCGCTCCCTCTTTTTATAGTTGGGGAAAGGATAATACAGCTGTACATTAATTTGTCGAACAGATGAATTCTAATTATATGACAAGATGTAAGGGATAGTGGCAGGTCTCTCTGTTCTTCATCAGGAATTGCCCTTTTGTTCTCTTTGGTTGCTGGGGTTCTTTCGTTGTCTGGGCTTGTGGCCTCCTTAGGGAATCCTGTTTCAGTGACTGCATGTGGCTATGGCTGAGGCCGACTTTCTTTATGCCTAAACTCCTGACAGGCTTGTGCTTGACACAGCACTTGGATTTACTCAGTCGTTAGCTCCTGTCAGTGTTGTACCTAGTACTGAGGAGATCAGAACGTTTTTTTAATTTTTTTTATCTCCCAGAAAGCTCAAATTGACTTTTACACTGTGTTTAAATAGAACTCCTTAAAAAAATGTTTTTTTTGCTATTTCTCTTTGATTGTATTTAATTGTAAAAGTTTATTGCTTACTGTTATTAAAATGTAGTTTTTTGATACTGGCTCCATAGTATATTTGCATAGTATTATTTGTGGTAGCAATCCTTTTGTAGTCCTGTATAACTGCTGTGGCTTTCATTACATATGTGTTTGTTAGCAGAGTATGGCAGAGAAAATCTAAAACTTGTCTGAAACAGCATCAAGATTGTTATAATTAAAGAAATTGTCTTACCAAGTATACTTGGTTGTTATATTGGTCATTTTATTTTTAGGATCCTGCTTTTCTGTTTTTTTCCCCTAACTAAGTTTATATACTAAATGGATTCATTCCTTTTATGTAAGCTAAATACCACTTGTCCCTACATCATGAGCTGCTCAAATGCATTCAGTTAATATGAGAATTCGTTTTCAAAGTTGTGAAACTGGCAATTTTATTAAAATAACTCCGGAGGATTTAGAAGACAGCATGGATTATAATCCATTTTTCAATATGCCATTTTTCTGACTCCAAAAAATTACTCTTTTTCATGCATAAGCTGCCTAGGCTTGTTAGAAGATTTGAAATAGAAGGAACCCTAAAAGCAAGTTACTGTGGGGCATGATGTGTCTTTGAAGTACATTTACACCCTGAGCCACTGTAGTCGGTTCTAAGTAGTGATCTCTACTTATAAAGGTTCTGAAGTTGATTCTTTACTTTTTTGTCCCAATATTTTATATTTAGAAAAACTGTTCAGTAGAGAAAGATTAAAAAAAAATAAAAGAATGACTCAAATACTTTATCAGTGATTTTTGTCTTTGTGAATATTTGTGTGTAATTAGCAAAGTATATTTCCAATGTTACAGTTATCAAGTTTATGGAAACTTTAGTCAAGACAAAGGTAATGGTGGATAGATATATTGTAAATATAGTACACAGGTATACTGGCTACAATACATGCTTTCCTGAAACTTGTAAACTTATTTATGAAGGTCAGAGTCAAGGTTAAAAGCAATACAATTTAAAAAACATCTTCCAAAAATGGAAAAAAATACATTGTGTTCCCATTGTCACTCAGGATATTTCTGAAATTTTCATTTAGTTCACAAGCACCTTTGGTTTGAACATTATTAATGCAAAAGAGGTATGAGGATGATAGTAGGTGATAAAAACAGGAATTTTATTCTGTTTATTGTCTTCTGGTAAAATTAATATATGCACATTGTTTTAAAAATTTTGGATAATATGGAAAGATATAAAGAAGAGACTGAAAATTTTACTTCCAAATATTACTACTGTTAACCTTTCGTTTATACCTTCCCAGTCTTTGGTTTCAGCCTGTGTGTGTGCACATATTTAAATAATAGGATCATTATAACAAATGCTTTTTTTGTAAACTGTGAATTTTGACTTAGGGGAATATTTCTTAGGATATTAAACAACACATATCAGAATTTTCACTAATATAACCAATCACTTGAACGTATTTTTATTCCTATTCTTTGTATACTGATTCCTTTTTTGTTCATGACATAGGATTTCTGGATAAAGAAAAATCACGTAAAAATGTTTTTGAATCACAGTTACCCATTATCTTCTAGAAAAATAACACATATTCATTTTTCTAATAAAAGTATGTGAGAGGAGTTTCCCCCAATTTCTTGCTAACACCATTATTTAGGTGTTAAATTTCATAACATGGAATTACAGATGGTTTTCTATAATATGGGTAATTAATTATTACTTATAGTTCTCTGGGATGCTTCCTAATGTAGCTTAATGGAAATATATTCATTTATAATTTCAGAATGACATTATGCCTATCTCAAACTCAGTGCCTGAAGATGTGGGAAAAGCTGACCAATTAAAAGATGAAGGTGAATATTTCATAGAAAAATGTTTTAGTTAATAAACCTTTCTGTAACTTTGAAGAAGGTGACTCTGTCAAGTGATAAAATTCTGGTTTACACTGCCAAGACTGGGTTGTCATAACGCCACATGGTATTTGTGAAACAGAAATGAATGTGACAGGGAAGAGGCCTGAAAATACAGAACAGCCTGTGGGCAACATAGGTATGGCTTGCTTCAAGAGAAGCGGATCTGTCCTGCATAATACTTGCAAAACCACTTAAGGGTAATTACTTGTAACTGTATTTGCTGTGTATGCTCTAGGATCCCAATTCTTTATGCTTAATCAAAAAATGACAATAATTTGCAACATTATTTTAAGTTTCACATATTTAGTGTTTTTGAGTTCTTTGAAGTTTGTTAATGCATGCATAAGGCACTCGACGTGTTTATTAGCTAGCACATTTGATTACTGTATTATCAAATTTTCTAATAGTGAATATTGAAGCATTCTTGGTTTTAATAAATGTGTCACTATTGTGTGAAAACAATTGGCCATGGTAGATTGTCAAACATAGGATTACTCAGGGCTGTATGTTACACTTATAATTAAGGCTTCTAGCCAACTAGTGCCTTCCTGGAAGGTTGCTTTCAAATATTTTTTGGGTGCTTTGTATCTGAAGAGCTCAAGAATGATCAGTTTAAACCAAGAAGAGTTTATTGTTGTTATTCCCTGACAAATCACAGAAATATAGACATCTCTCATAGGGTTGTTTTGATAATTAAAGGGGACAGGTTTATAGGAGAGTACCATGTAAGTATGAAGTGCTGTACAGTGGTTAGTTATATCTATCTGAATTTTTTCATATTAAATAGTTTGTGAATTGAAGCTCTTTTCATCAGTATGTATAAACATATCTATACATATAGTATGCATACATTTGAAGTGGTTTACAGGAAAAGACATACAATGGGTTTTAATACTACTACTACTACTACTACTACTACTAATTTTATTATGCCACCCCCAAGACCAAAAGGCCCAACAGCAACAAGGAAATTCCTATAACTCAGAAAATGTAAATCTTTTCATATGGAAGAAGCAAATTTATTTAACTACTTAGGCTACTGTAGTTAACTTTGTGCTCAATCATTAAAGCTATGGAGGGCCAGCTGAGTGGCTCAGTTGGTTAAGAGCTCGCTCAAAGGTTTGAGCTCTGAGCAACAGCGGTTCGATGCCCACCCGAGCTGAGCTGCCACTGAGCTGCCAACAGATGGCAGGATGGCTCAGCTAAACAAAAACAAAAACAAATAAATAAATAAAAGCTATGGAATTCTCTTAGCTGTCTTAGAAGCTATATTCATTTTTGGGGAATGGATGGGGAGAAAAACTATTTTTTTTAACTTTTCAAAAACAGCCTTATTGAGTTATAATTCACATACCGTGAAATGTACTCCATTAGAGTATGCAAATTCATTGGTTTCTAGTATATTCAGAGCTGTGCAGCTATCACCATAATTATAGAACATTTTTATCACCCCAGAAGAAACCGTGGTGTGCTCATTAGCAGTCACTCTTTGTATTGACTTCTGATTCTTAATTTCCAGTAACTTTTTATGATTTTAGATGCTTTTATCTATCTGCATTTAATTTAATTTTCCTATTTCTGTTTCCTGCAAATTTACACCCTCCGTCTCCCATTGAGTAGCTAATCTATTGAAAAAGAAGGCTAATAGGAGAGCTTGTGGTTTAGGGACAGCTGGAAAGAATAACAGAGGCTTTTGGGATGGATAACCCTTCCTTCTAATCCTAGTATTTTAAAATGTTCAGTTTTGAACACTGGCTCTTGAAAGTGAGCAGGGCACTTTTCTGTTGAATGGAATATGAAAGATAGCTATGAGAAATTCCTTATTTCACTGGGCAGTTTTTAACCTAGCTAAATTATAGTGCTCTTGCAGGTGCTCTTCCTGAAAATCGGTATCCTGTAGGCTAGCCATGGTATCTGAAATTCTGTCTTTCTAGAAATTAATCTGTAATAATCTCCTTTTTAAAAGAATCTATGTTCTGGAAGAGATAGCACATGAAAATATTATCTGCCAGTAACATGTTAGCATGATTAGCTTTACCAGCTTACCCACACACAGCAGAGTTCTGAGGGTTTGGTTACTTAGCAGATGGATATTTTGACAAGGAAGGAGTGGAAGACCAAGTCCAAACTGAGGAGGGTGTTGCACTGGGATGGAGTGGGGCAGCTCTAAAACGGAGAGACATGAAGATAAAGGTGCGAAGAGATTAGATGTTGTCATGAGATAATCACAATTGTTGCTGCCTTACTTACTGAAGCCTGAATTTTATAAGAAATACAAACATTAATATAAAAACACAATATAAAATTACTTCCCCTGTGACTGAAAAATCATATTGCTGACCTCCGTATTAGTGTAGTTTCTATGATTAAAACTTATCTTTCAGGCTTTATATTTTTTCTGTATGTTGTACTTACTATACCTACTGATTATTTTAGGCAATAACCACATGAAAGAAGAAAACTATGCTGCTGCAGTAGATTGTTACACACAGGCGATAGAAATGGATCCAAATAATGCGGTTTATTATTGTAACAGGTAAACGGCACTATTGTAGCATGTTTATAGTTCTAAAACATTTGCATTAATAACTCTGAAGGAGAACTGTAAAATGTATTTATTTAGAAAATTTTGACAGTTCTGAAAACTATAAAAAAGGAAAACAGTAAACTTGTAAACTTACCACTTTGAGGCACCTACAGTTACTAACCTTTTGGCATATTTTGTTTCATGTAAGTTTAATCAACTTTAGAGTTAGCTTTATTCACTAGGCATATCATAAACATGTTCTTCTATTGAAACCATCAACATTATTTAAATTGATATAAATTAGTCTATTACTAATTCTTAATCTTTTTAATATTTCCAGCACCTATCATTGTCTGGCTGACAAACACTCAGTGTTCTTTTAATAAATGGATAGATGTATCTTTTTTTTTTAGATGTATCTTAATTTACTTATCCATTGACCTACTGGAAGACACTGAGGTTGTCCTTTTTTTTTAATATTATAAAGCTGCAATGAACATCTTTGTTTCTAAAATTATTTTCTAATTTTTTTTACTAGATTTATCCTTGGAAATGCACTCAGGAGGTCTAACGGTATAAACGTTTAAAAAATTGTTGATGCAAATTGCAAAATTATTCCAGTTTCTTTGAAAATATTTTGAAAATTAATTTCCTCCCCTAGAAGTGTATGCGTGTATCTGTTTTTATCTGTTTTATACCTTTATCAGCATTAAGTACTTGAATCATTATTAATTTAATAGTTATTTTAATACAAATTGTTCTAATTTATACTTAATTACTAGTGAGGTTGGATATCTTTTAAATGTTGGCCATTTTTTCTTCTCTAACTTATCTATTTGTACCTGTGCCGGGCCTTAGCCTGTTTGACCTTATTAGACTTATTTTTTCCCTGTTCTGCCGGTTTTAACACGTCTGACCCCTACTGGCTGCATTTTGCTGGCTCATTTGTCACCTGAGTTTTGCTGGATTCAGCCATGGGAGGTGCTGGCAGGAGGTTGGAGGGCAGAATGAAGGGAGAAGTTGGGCTGTTTCTTCCCCTCTTTTTACATCAGGGTGTTTATCCAGCAGGTCATCTTTGTCTCCAGTTCCCACCCGAGATACCTGCTATGGTCCCAGCTCTTGCCAGGTGATGTTGGGTTTTGGACTTGGTCCTGTTTTAGGGAGTAATGGCTTCCCACTGTTGCTAATCTCTGGAATTGCTGCGCCCTCCACCCGCTTTGGCACCTCAGCTCTTCTATGAGCTATGTAATGACTTCCTTGCCCTAAATGACTGTTTGTTTTTTTTAAGATTTTTTTTTTTATTGGGGAATTGGGGGGATGGGAACAGTGCTGGGGAATTGGGGGAAGGGGAACAGACAAGTTGCTGTCCTTTTGTTCTTCAGTCTAGTTGTGGAGGATGTTGCTTCACTGGCCCAAGTTGGTACCATCATTGCGCTCTTCTCTGGCGAGGCAGATCAGTCGCCGGCTTCTGGACGGCCGCTCACTGCGGCTGCTGGCCACACACGGTAGCCCATTGCAATCCTCCACTGCTACAGGGACTGCAGCCCATGCCGTCGCCGGCGACTCATGGCAGCCCAGCTCCAGGTTGAGCTGTTGTTCAGCATCTTAGCTGCAGAGGGCAGTGTCACTGGCCCTCACATGTGGGATCCGAACCAGGGCCCTCTGGCATCCCAAGCGAGTTCTTAACCATCGCGCCACTCGGCCGGCCCCCTAAATGACTGTTTTAAATATTAGTTTCAATAGAACTTTCTGCAATGATGAAAATGTTCTATATCTGAATTGTCTAATACAGTAGCCACTAGCCACAGTGGCTACTGAGCACTCGAAATGTGGCTAGTGCAACTGAGGAACTAAATTTTTAATGTTTAATTTAAGATCAATTTAAATTAATTTAAATTTCAGTAGCTGCATGTGGTTTGTGGCACTGTACTGGACAGCACAGCTCTATACTAAAGATACAATCCCTTTGTCCTAAGCTCACAGCTTATTGTTTGTCTTTTCAAGGATGTTCTTCATATGTAAAAGTTTTAAATATTTATATAGAAAAATTTGTTTTTCTTTTTTGTTTTGAATTTTACTCTAATGTTTTTAGGCTTAAAACTCTCCCCATTTACAGACTTGACAAATAACTTCACTTCTATTTTCTTATTTTTCCTTTACATTTAAATTTTATCTCCTCAATTCGATTTTGGTGACTGGTATGAATGTTTTAACCAATCTGAAACTTTTTATAACAGAGCCTTATAGAAATGACCTTTTATTATATAGTAAGATCTTAGATTTGAATGAGATCTTTAAGGCAATTTGGTCTAATCTTTCACTGAGTTATTCTTACTGTATTTAGGGTATTCGTACTCTTCTGAGATAGTCCCTTCTCTCCCTGTCTTTTTCTTTTGTGGTTTTATATGTTAGAAAAGTCTCCCTTATTCATATTATTATATGAATTTGTTTTCCTGTAACTTCTCTTAGTCGGCTTTATGTTTATTCTTGAGGGCATTTACAGAATCTGTATGTTTCTGCTTTTTCATCATAGTACCCGGTAGTTTGAAGTTTTCTACCATGTTCTTTTCTCCATGTTAAATGTTCACAGCTTCTTTAGTTACATTTCAGATTATACAGCTTTGTACTTTTGCTGTAAACTTGTTTCAGTTTACCTGTATCAATTACTGTGTAGTTCCTAGAAGTTAACACAGTTTATCTGGCGTTGGTCTGACCAGAACAATCTTGTAGGGCTTTCACTTAACCTACTTCTAGATAACACAATTACAAAAAAAATAGCATTTTGTAGCATTATTTACTAAATTTATATTTTGCTTTTAGTTTATTAAAGCCTCTCTGTTTTTCACACATTCTCTCTAGCCTATCACTCAATCATTTATTCATTTGACAGGTTCTTGCCAAACACCTGCTATGTACCAGTGTTCTCACTGGAGGTCAAGTTGGTTGTCTGGATTCAAGTGCAGGATCTTAGATCTTATCCTTATAGATTTTTATCTTGCTATGGTCTCTCATTTATGTGCCCGTTAATCTTTTTTGGATGATTTGTAAAGTAATGCATTTGCTTTTGCTCCTAGTTTCATGTCATCCACAAACTTGAGAAGACTACTGTCTACATTATGTTGACTACATTATGTCAATTATGAAGTCAACTAAGGGAGCAATCATAGGGAAGTGGTTAACCGCTGGGGTTCTGAGCCAGACTCTTTGGATTCTACTTACTGGCTCTGCCACTTACTACCTACATAACCTTGAACAACTTAGCCAACATATCTATGCCTTGGTTTCCTCATTGATAAAATGTGGATAATAGTATTTACCTGATAGGATTGTTGCAGAGATCAAATAGTTAATACATATAAGTTGCTAGGAAAGTATCTAGTAAAGAGAGTTGTACACAATAATAGCTATTGCCATTATTTGTGCAATCTGGTTTTTTTTTTTACCTTGATCAGAATATAAAGAGAATCCAAACTTATTGGGTCCAAATATGTTGTCAGTTGTCCTTCTCTGATGTACCAGTCTGGTGGTAACCCTATTAAAATAAAAAGGAAATGATCATAGTTTGATAGGACTTTTTCTGAATTAATCTAGTGTAATTTTCCTTCTCTTTTATTCATAATATTTTTAATGAAATTTTTCAAAATTTAAAAAAGTTTACAATGAATACTCATATACATACATAGATTTTGGCCATTAATATTTTAGTATATTTGCTATATCACACATTTATTCATTTTTCTGTGGCTCTCTATTAATTACTCATCTTATTTTTGATGCATTTCAAGGTAAATTTCAAGGTAAATTGCAGCCATCAGTATACTTTCCCCCTAAATACATTAGCATGTATATCATTAACTAGAATTCAAAATTTTACATTTTTCTTTCTTTTGTGGTAAAATTTACATGCAATAAAATGTACAAATCTTAACTGGACTTTCACTAAGTTCTGACGAATGCATACACCCATATAACTCAAAAACCCCTAACAACTACTGAAAATTACCATCAGCCCGGAAAGTTCCATATGCCCTTTCAGAGTCAGTCGAAAACACTCACCAGAGGCAACCACTGTTTTTGTTTTTTTCCACCATAGATTAAATCTGTTCTCATTTAGAATATCACATAAAAGAAATCATACAATGTGTACTTTTTTAGGGGGACATTTTTAGCTCAGCATAAAGGTTTTGAGATTCAACCATGTATCAGTGGTTATTTATTTTTTTTAATTGCTCAGTAATATATTCACTGTGGTACACTGAATGTACCACAGTTTGCTTAGCATTTTCCTTCCTATTCATGGTCACCTGAGCTGCAGTTAGTTTTTTCTTTTGTGATTTATAGTTGTTGTTTGTCTAAGAGTTGGATCCATATGGATTTACTTGAGCATACTGGAAACCTACATTTTCTTTCTTCACACAAAAATCCCTTTATTTATCTGTTCTAATAATTTAACCCAGAAAAATAGAAAATCCAAATAATTTGTGGAGAATGAATTCCCCAAGCTGTGGTTTTATGTTTGAATTTCATCTTCTGTAGTTAGATGAATCTACATAATGTTTTAATTTAGCATGTGAAATCTTGAAATACATTTAATAGTGTCACAAAATATTATGACCAGATATAAATGTTACCAGAAAATTGCTTATTTATAAAGCACAGTAAGCCATACACTTTTAACTATGAATATGGTAAATCTGAGCCTAAATAAATCATTCCTTTTTAATGAAATTAAGGTTCATTTGTAGTCTTAGGTCCACTAGTACTGTACTAGAAGATGTTCTTGGCAATAATGATGCTTGCTTTTCATTTAATTATTGTTAACTTGAAATCAATAATTATACTTCTTTTCTGCATTTAAATTTTATCTTTTTCCCTGAAGAGTTCATTAATAGAGCATGCAGTTTAATATTAAATAATTAGAAAATTTTATTTGTATATTTGATACACATATTAAATAAAGCTTTAGGATCTTTCCTTTTAGACTCTAGTAGCTATAAATATCTCAATAGCCTGTAATCTTGCCAAATACCCCTTGCTATTTTTCTTAGCCAGTTGGCTGCCAAGAGTTGGAAGCTTAGAATAGCAGATCTAAATCTTCCTTTTGATATTAATTTTTATAGTTTTATTACTAATCAAAATATTATTCACATATTAAACTTACAAGGGTGAACCATTTTTTTAAAATAAAAGTGACTTTTTATATGTTAGAAAACAATCAGTTGGCACATTTCTTAGGCACGGGTCTTTCTTTTCTAGCATTTTTCTTCTGTTTTGGCCTTTCAGCATCCTAATGATGCTTTAGGTTCAGGTTAGATACCAGAAAAACCTGAGTCCTTCCTTGAAAACCTGTTAATTATTTTTTCTTTTTTTCTAAACTCCTAGCACTTACCACAATATGTAACATTTATATAAGTTGATCATATACTCTGCCTTATCTTACAGTTATATGCAAACTTGTTTCATTTCGTTAAGTGAAGGGCAGAGATTGGATCTTGTATCCATATGTATCTCCTATAGTACCTACAGCACTGTACCTCACAGGAGTTCAGCCAATTGTTATAGGGTGCATGGAGGACTATAGAAGAAATATAAGAAATTTCCACTGATATTGAAGTGACCAAGCACTCACATTAACACTTTATATATAAAACAACAAATAATCAAGTACAGGTCTAAAACATTTCTAAGTACTTTATAAAATTAAATGATATTTCATATTAAACTAGCTAGTTTTCTATGTCTTCTGTCCCTAAATAATATTTTTATTTCTTTTGTACAACCTCACTGCTGAGTACATTATTTGCCCATAGCAGTCTCATGTTTCTGGGGTGGATGGGCGGTTGAATGACTGAGGCAATAAACAGAACTGAAGATATACAGGAAAGAGAGTATGATGGAAAGAATTTGTCTGGAAGGCTTCTCACATGATGGGGAATTTGAGTTGGAGCTGGATTTGATGGACAGCTAAAATTTGGAAGGACAGAGGAGAGGGGAAGCCATTTTAAGTTGGAAAATGTACTTTAAAAGGCAAAATTAGGAATCATTAGAGCATTGGAATGCTAGTGAGTGTGTGAACTCTGAGAAAGATGGGAACAGAGACCACATTGTTTTGTATTTTGTTTTCTTTCACCTTCATAGCACCATGTAGTCATTAGTTCACTGGGATTTGAACTTGGTTTGTTGAACTTGGAGTTGAATCTCAGTTCAGCCCCTTACTAGCTGTGTGACCTTGCAGCCACTTAACCTTTTTGAGCCTCAATTAACTCACTTGTAAAATAGAGATAATACTAACCAGTTCTCAGGGTAGTTGTGAGGAGTAATAATATGTATATAAAGTCCCTAGCATAGTCCTAGGCCTTTAATAGCTGTTTCTTTGAAAAACAATGCAATTCCTAGTTGTAGGAACAGGTTTTTGCTGTCATTTATTTAGCATGCATGATACATATCGTGTGGGAAATGTAAGATACCTGTCATTTCTTTTTTGCCTGATTTCCTATAAAAATAGAGCATAAGTAATGTTCATGCTCTTGCTCTAACAAGCTAAAGAAAGCAAGGTTGTTTGGAAACATGGTGACTTGAACTGTATTGTTCTGCTGGAATTTCATTAGTTATGCCCTGATAACCAGACAGCAGGGGCAGAGAGAGCAGACCACATTGTTATTCAGCTCAGACACTGGCATGTTTGGCCTCCTCTCACAGGAGATTAAAATGTAGCCTGACTTCTCCTCCCGTTCCTGGCCTCAGAGGTTCAGTCCCTCGCCTCTTTGTTTTGTGAGCAACGCAAATCTGCTTCCATCCTAGCCTGCAGTTTGTATCTAAAGCGCAAGTTATCGGGATTGAAACAGTCCTTCTCTTCCCCTCCGCCCACTCTTCTTTCTGAAGCTGATTCTCCCTGCTTTATTCCTCGTTTTATTATCAGTATCTGAATCCAGAGATCAGGGTGTCTTCCTCTGTTTCCCTGTCCCTGTACTTCCCCAGTAACCCATTTGTTCCCTCCTCCTTTTTCATCACGACTCCGTTAGTCCAGGTTCTTAACTTTTCTAAACTAGTGGCTTCCCCACTCCACATGCACTCTGCACTCCATTCTTCTGCCAAAAGGATCTTTCTAAAATGTGAAATTAATCATCGAATTCTTGGCTTTCTGTTCACTAATTCCAGATACCTACATGATTGAATTTAAAGCTCCTCAGTATGATACATAAAATCTTTTATAATCTAGGCTCTTCCTTTTTTTTCCACTTAATTGACTTTTCTTTTCTTCCTACTCCATTCCTCTTCTCTCTCCTCTCTATGCACATGTAACGTGAAATTTACTGACTTCTTAAAAATACCATGGTGGGACATCTATCCATGCTTTTATGTACGCCTTCCTTTGCCGAGAATATTTCCTACCTTATCTACAATAATTGGTAAACTGCTAGTCATCCTTCAAGGCCCTTTAGGTGTTGCTTCTTTTGGGAAGACATTCTTAATTTCTTTTCTACCCAACCTCCTGACCATGCCCCTATGCCTCCCCTGCCATGTCCTGTGAAGTGGCGCTGTCCAGTATGGTACCTCCTAACTACAGGTGGTTGTTCAAATTAATTAAAATTAATAAAATTTAAAAATCAGGTCTTCAATTGCACTAGCTGATTTCAAGCACTCTTTTGTTACATGTGGCTAGGGGCTACTGTATTGGATAGCACAGATAAAGAACTTTTTTATCAGAGAAAGTTCTGTTAGACAGCTCTGCATAGGGTTAACCACCCTTTCTCCATTGTCTCTTCCTTTGATACTTCCATTGTTGTATTTATCATACTATTTATTTATTTACATGTATATTTCCCTATTAGACAGTGAAGACTGGAGAGCAGAGATCTATTTTGTTCATCTCTGTACATTTGGTTTTGAGGTCAGCATTTAGCACGTTATAGATGTTCAACAAAAGTTTGAGTCGAATTGATTCAGTGAATTTTAGAAGGGAGAATTGCCTCAACTTGAAGACTTTCTTCCAATGGTGAAGAAGTCACGTAGCAGCATGTATTGTGTGTGCGTGTATATGTATGTGTGTGTGTGTATAAAATTTATAGCTTATTTAAAAACTATTTAAACTTACTGAAAAAGTATTATGATTAAGACCCATATACATGTACCCTAGAGTCAGTAAAACTAACACTCTGCCATTTTTACTTCCTCTCTCTCTCTCTATCTCTCTGTCTTTCTCTCTGTGGGGGGGTTGTGAGTGTGTGTGTGTGTGTGTGTGTGTGTGTGTGTGTATAAAATTATAATTTTCTTGCTGATCCTAAGTACTTAAATTATATCTCCTAAGGATATATTCCACGTAAGTGTCATACCATTCACATGTAAGAAAATTAGCACTAATACTGAACTCTCTCCAACTGTTCCCCCAAATACCTTCTATAGCTATGTCTTTGATCCAGAACCCAATCAAGGTTCATGAATTTCATTTTGATATTTCACTTTAGTCTCTTTTAATCTAGACAATATCCTAGTCTTTTTTTATTGTTTTTCATGACATAGACTTTTTTTGGAGTTCAGGCCAGTGATATTATAGAATGTGCCATATTCTATTGTGTGATTGCTCCCTCATGATTAAATTTAGGTTAAATTTGGTATGAAGCCTTCATAAATGATTACGTGTACCATTTACTGAATTTTATTAGGAAGCACATGATTTCAACCTGTCCCATTAATGGTGTTTCTACGTTTGATATCTTAGGGTGGTGACCACCATTTCTATTCTTTTTGTAATTAAAATAATCTGTGGGGTGAGATCATGTGAGTATCCTGTTTCCTAACAATCTTTCCCTCAATGTTTATCATCCGTTCATGATCTTTCCCTAAATCATTAATATATTGATGGTTACAAAATGATGATTTTTCTAATTTTATCGTATCCTTTACATATAGTTCCTCATTTCTGTAGAGAGCTTTCTTCCTTTTTTCCCCTTTTCTGCTTTCCTCCTCCCCCAACTTTTTTGAGTATAATTATAGACTCAGGGATTTTAAAATATTCACTATTCATTGTGTTACAATACATTACCATATTTATTATTTTTGTATTTAAAATTATCCCCATTTGGCTAGTGAGGGCCCCTTTAAACTGGCTGTGTGTCCTTTTATGTAACTTCATTTGTTTTTGAATACTTTCTTGCTTTCCGAGACAATAAAGTATTCCAGATTTGCCTTGTACTTTCTCTGCCCTAGAAGTGGGCTCAGCTATTTCTACTAGGAGTCCCTGTTCCTTTTCATGGATAATGGTATTTAAAAACCAAGATTACCTCTGGCTGCAAGAGGTAATCATTGCTATTCAAGTGTGACTGCTTCCAGGTCCTCTCAGAGCTAGGAAATAATATTTTTTGAAAAGTCATAAATTTATACAGATGAAGTTCAATTCACATTCCAGTGTCACAGTGTCCAGTGTTTTTCTATCCCTTTAAACTCCAGCCTCTGTGTGATTATGTTTTAAGTGATATCTTATGTATACACTTTGAGAATTTGATTATTTAGGCAACTTTGTGATTACCTATATATTTGAATTGTTTTCTGCTATCTTATTTTTTGCTTTTTTTCCTTCCCCTTCTCTTTTTTTTTTTTGGGGGGGGAGCTTTTATTGTATCAACTGGGTTATTTTTATATCATTTTTTTCTTCATAATTATTTGGAAGTGATAATTCTATACCTCTTCTTTAGATGGTCATCCTTGTCATGCTGTTAGTTTGTACTGAGTATTCCATCAAATAAACCCATACCTCTTTTTCACATAAATTACCACCATAGGTTTGTTGGTTCCTGTCCTTTCAAATATAATTTTTTTTAACTGCAGCAGAGGAGACTGTTTATTTCTTTCAAATTTTATCATCTTAGTTTGAGAAATAAGGGTCTCAATCATGCTGTAAAAAGAAAGGCTGACAGAAAAATGGACTGACCACCACCTTTCTTTACAGCCTGCCAGCTCCCTCCATCTCCCACTCCCATGAATCTAAGCAATATTGAGGCAGGAATATTATTTTGATTACTGCTCTATCTATTATGCCTAGAAGAGTGTGTGTGCATTAGCTAACCCTCAATAGACATATTAGTTGAATGAATGAAGTATAAATATGTAATCTGGAGATGAATGGAGTGGGAATGGGAGGCAGGGCAGGAGACACGTTGGAACTTTTCAGTTTGAAGGACTTGCATTTGAACAGAAATTGCAGTTGAACAGAAATTCTATGTGTCTACTAGTGCCCTGAGGGTTGAAGTCAGCACTACTGTAGGGAAACAGAGAGCTATTGACTCTCAAGATTGTCTGGAGGGGTAGTGAGTGCCTTCTTTATATTGTCAGGTCCCAGTTATCCAGGAGAGTTTTGTTAGAAGTAAGCTGGAAGGGATTAACCAGTCCTTCATTGCTCTGAGATTCTGTGCTAAGTAGATGGAATACATTGCCGTCTTTCATTTATAGCCAGATTTAGGCACACAGTTAAATTGGGTTTTTAACTTAGACTTGCCAGGTGATCTTAACTGTACGAGGGACGTGATCCTTTAACAGCACAATCTGAGTAGCCAATCATAGCAATCCTTCACTCTGTGTGCCTCCCTAGTAATCCCCAATGTACTAATGTTTTCAGTTTTCTGTTTGAGCAAATTAAAAGGCATTAAATAGGTAGATCAGTTGTATGGCTCACATGTTTGTCTTTTCTATAGCAGAGTAAACGGTGAAAGGCCACCTGCATATTTTCTCTGAATTTTGTTTCTGAATTTTCTTTTCATTAGATTATAGAATTATCTTAAGACAATTTGATTCAGATATTTACTGGGAGTGATATACAAATTGGGACAAGGAAAATGTAGTTTTATTAGAACCTGAGAATCTAAATTAATGCTTTGAAGGTTGTGTATCATAACAATCTCTTTTCTTTCTCTTAGGGCTGCTGCTCAGAGTAAATTAGGTCACTACACAGATGCAATAAAGGATTGTGAAAAAGCAATAGCAATTGATTCAAAGTACAGCAAGGCCTATGGGAGAATGGGGTAAGTTCAAAGTCATGCCAAGTTGTATCAGTTATGCTGTTCTTAATGGCTTGGTTTTGAATTTCCTGTTTAATATTGCATCCTTTCAACTAACAAGATGAAATATAATAGTGGGGGAGAAAATGGCTGCAGTTTCTGTGATTTGGGAGAGAAATGATTACTTGTATGGTGAATGGTTGGTTTTTAGAGAAAATCATGTAGCCACAATGAGTAGACTCATGTCATGTTGAAAGCCACAAATCTCATGAGCACTCAGTATCCTGGCAAACAGTCCTACTATATACTTCCTTCTAAATTCACCTTACTGCTCTCTAGTTGATTGCTTTACACCTACTCTTCTCTCTTCAAATTTCTACTACATCCTCCCTGGTGACTCTTGGTTGATGATATTGCTTTATATCTGAGCAAAGATGCATTTTGAAGAAAAGTGGCTCATCTTCTTACTTCCAAATCTACCAATCTACCTGCACTTGTGTCCACACAGACCGCCTTTTCTTCTGTTAAAATGGAAGGGTTCTTATCTAAGACTATTGCCTTAATTCGTCCTTTAGATCTCATCTCTTTGTACCTTCTCCTAGACTTTATACTTGTAATCATCTCCTTTCTTTTCTGCAACACCAGTTCTCCTGTCTGTAACGGTGATAATGACCGCATGTGAAAAGGTCATGCAGAATCAGCTGCTGCAGTCCTCCTTTCACCAAGCTGCATCATTTCTCCGTTCCTCTGTCTCTTCGAAGCCCCTGATAGCTGTCTGTGCTTAATGTCTGATCGTCATCCTCTCCTTCTCTCTCAGCTCACTTGTCTCTTTCACTCAACTGAGAGTTCTGCTCAAGGTCACCAGTTGTCTATATTTTACCAAGGCCAAAGTTTAGTTTTGTTTCCTCACCCTACCCATCTGTTCATATTTGGCATGATCATCTTATTTTATTCTTCTGAAAATCAAATACAAAAGGTGTTATTTCAGAAATCATTCTCCAGGCTTGTTTGACACCACAATTTCCGGTGTTCCTTTTACTTCACTGGCTGCTCTTTCCCAGTCTGTCTCCCTTATTGGTTCTTCCTTTTTCTACCACCTCTAAATAACAGTGTACTTCAGGGCTCTGTCCTCTCCTCTGCTGCTGCTGTCTGTTCTCTCTTCTGATTTCAGCCCGTCCCGTGCTTTTAAATTCCATCTATAGTTGATACTCATTATTCATGGATTCTGTATTTATGAATTCACCTACTTGCTGAAATATTTTTGTAACCCCAAATCAATATTCACTGTGCTTTTGTGTTCATTCACAGTGTGGTGAAAAATATGACTCACCTGACGTGCAAGATCTGAGCTGAGGTCGAGTAAGGCAATGCCCTGCCTTTTTGTTTCAGTGCTCAAGCTGTAAATGTGTCCTTTTTGCAGTTTATTTAGTGCCATATATATATATATAAATTTTGCATTTTTGTGCCTTTTGTTGTTGATTTCCCTGTTTACAATGGACCCAGATGTAGGCTGAAGTATTGTCTAGTGTTCCTAAGTGCAAGAAGGCTGTAATGGACCTTATGAAAAAATACATATTAGATAAGTTTTGTTCAGGCATGAGTTAGTGCTGTTGACTGTAAGTTCAATGCTAATAAATCAATACTATATTTTTAATAAGGTTTCCTCAAGAAGAAAAACACATAAAACAAGGTTATGTATTGATTGGTTGATGAAAATGTTGTGACCAGGGCCTCACAGGAACCTAACCTTATATTTCCCTTAGGAGCAATTGTTTAGTATTTGCTAAATCAGTGTTTGCAGTGGCTTTATAAACATAACTACTCTGAATAATGAGAATCAACTGTGTATGTTGATGTATGACAAGTTATTACATGTCTTAAGTTATATGTCTGAATGCCATATTCATCTTTAACTTCTTTTCATCTCCATTTATATGTGTATTATAATAGGCATTTTTTTTAAAGATTTTTTTAAATTGGGGAATTGGGGGAGGGGAACAGTGCTGGGGAATCAGGGGAAGGGGAACAGACAAGTTGCTGTCGTTTTGTTCTTCAGTCTAGTTGTGGAGGACGTTGCTTCACTGGCCCAAGCTGGCACCATCATTGCGCTCTTCCCGGGCGAGGCAGATCAGTCACTGGCTTCTGGACGGCCACTCACATTCGCTGCTGGCTACACACGGTAGCCCATGGCAACCCACTGCCACAGGGGCTGCAGCCTACGCCGTCGCCGGCGACTCAGGGCAGCCCAGCTCCAGGTTGAGCTGTTGTTCAGCATCTTAGCTGTGGAGGGCAGTGTCACTGGCCCTCATATGTGGGATCCGAACCAGGGCCCTCTGGCGTCCCAAGCCAGCTCTTAACCAACGCGCCACTCAGCTGGCCCTATAATAGGCATTTTAAACTTAACATGCTCCAAACAGAACTCTTGTTCCCTTCCTCTATCTTTCCCATCTCAGTAAATGTTACTATCATTCACCTACTAGTGTTCACGTCAAAAGCCTAGGTGTCTTCCTTCATTCTTATCTGACATATATTATCAGCAAGTCCTGTTAATTCTAATTTCCACATATATCTTGAATTCAAGCACTGATTGCTATTTTGTTTATAACCCTAGTCCAAATTACCATCTCTTACCTAGGCTACTGCAGTAGCTTCCTAAACTGGTTTCCCTGCCTCCATGCCCTGCCCCGCCTCCCTACTTCTTTGATCCTCTGCAGACAAGCCAGAGCGAGCTTTCTAAACCATAAATCAGATCATGTCACTCCACTGCAACCAGAATAAAAGCCAGACTCCAAACCATGGTTCTATATTATCTGGCACCTGATTACTCCCTGACATCATTTCTTTCCACGCGGTTTTCTGTGCTCCCTCCTCATCATCCTTTGTCCCGTTTCTTAAGTGTACCAACCGTGCATCATTCTCAGGCCTTTTGTGTTTACTGCTGCTTCTATTTAGGATGCTCCTGCCATGATTTTCATATGACTGCTTCCTTCTCATCTTCCTTCTCGTCTTTTCAATGTGGCTGCCTTTGAGCAGCTCCCTTATTCATTATCTTTAATATTACTTTTTTATTTGCATATTTTTTGCTTGTCTTCCCTAAGTAGAATGAAATTTTCTTAAATTCAAGAACTTTACCTTTTTCATTGTGGAATCTAAAATAGTGCCTTGTGCACAATAAGGTTTCAATAAATATTTATTGACTGCTGATAAGAGAACGTTGATGAAGTATCTTTGATGGTTGACTGGTAGAAAGCTAATTAGGAACAACTAACTCTAGACTAGGATAATAAAGTGTTATTTGACTTGTAAATGATGCTAATTCTATCTATTTAACAAGTAACATGTCTTGTTCAGGAGTAGTCAGATGATAGCCCACAGCCTATTTTTATTTTTTATGGTGAAATGATATTTATTGTGACTCAGTGTCTCTGCTAGGAAGTAGGAAGAAAGTGTGACATTATGAAGTAAAAATCTAGTTTAGAGTCCATAAAATGGTTTTATCATCATGGAGGTATGTAACCACAGGATTGTTAGTTCATATCTTTGTGGAGCTTAATCATTTATAAAGCAAATTACTTCACATATTAGGCTTAAAAATGAAAGGGTAAGTAAGGTTCATTTCTAAGCATTAAGTTCATGATTAATATAGGCCAGCCAAGGTTGTCAGCAAGCAGAATGGAGAGTTCAGACTTACAGAATCTTGGAATTATAAGGAATTTTAGGATATTCCTGTGAACCATAGTATAATGAATAAATTAAGTATAATTTGGATTCAAATTGAATACCAAGACAGATGTTTGACTATGTTTGTGATGTCCTGATGTTCTTTAATCATGTATCTTATATTCTCATATTCTATTCTTTTCAGGCTGGCCCTTACTGCCATGAATAAATTTGAAGAAGCAGTTAGAAGTTATCAAAAGGCACTAGATCTTGACCCTGAAAATGATTCCTATAAGTCAAATCTGAAAATAGCAGAACAGAAGTTGAGAGAGGTAGCCAGTCCTGTAAGTTATTAATGCCAAATGAGTGAAATATTTTCTGTCATTCACAATTTATTGTAATTAAGTTGCAGTGGTTAGTGTAATTTTCAGATATTATCATTGTTTTACAGACAGGAACTGGATTGAGCTTTGACATGGCGAGTTTAATAAATAATCCAGCGTTCATTAGTATGGTGAGTATATTTCCTTTTCTGCTCTGCTGGCTCTGTTTTCCATAAAGCTATATAATTCTTTTTATATAAGTTTCTTTTTAGAAACAAATAAGGGAGACTTTGTGATGGTGGTGGTAAGAGTGGTGATGTAATGCTATGGCTGAGTTTTTCACCTGCCCATGTATCTGTTTATGAGAAAGCCATGGATAGACTTCAGGAAGCCCGTGGATTTCCTGAAATTGTATATAAAAACTTTTGTACCTGTGGATACATGCATTTTTCTAGGGAGAGAACCATTATTTTTTGTCAGATTGGCATAGGGGTCTGCAAATCTACCAAAGGTTAAAAACCACTCTCTTACATGAAAATAGCTCTAGGAAAATATCTAATAATTGAGGCCTGAGGATCTTGGCTACTGTGGTTCCCTAAACTCTTCTGTTAGCATTATCTGCTTCCTTTCTATCTTGAGTTTTTTTTAACTTTTAGTGTAATTTCCATATATATATATATGCACCCCATCCTTCAAACCAACAAAATCACTTACAGATCTTTTTGAAAACACACATGCTTTCATCCAGTAGGTGGGAACTCTGATTTAGGAGTCAAGGATGTTACCTGGGCAGGTGAAGCTCCTTGAGTGACTGTATACCTCTGGCTGAGATCTATTATACCAGATGCTGTGCCCTTGGAAGGCAGCCCCACTTCTGATTCACCCTTGTTTCCTTAAAAAAATGTCTTGCATCCACTTCAGTTGAAATGAATTGTACAGATGGCTTATTCCTAGTGAGATAAAAAAAAGTCTTCTGAACAATTGGTAGGTTTGTAGTAGTTGGTAGTTTAAAATTGTTTAAGTCTTTGTAGATAGTAGTTAATTTTTGAATCACTAACCCCAAATGAGATATTCAGAAAGCCACCTCTGGCTTTTATTACCAGAGAAAGAATGTTTGACTAACTTGCAAGTTAATTCAATAACTCTCTGAGTCTCAGGATTGAGGCCAAATTTAAGTGGGCCTTACTACCTCAATACCAACAGATGTGTCTCTCTGTAGGTTTGTGACATTTGAACGTTGTTGCTCATTTCTAGTATTGCAGCAGGATGTGAAAATGGCTTTCTTTTGGTTTTCGATTTGGCTTAGCCCTCAAGATGCCATGTACTGAAGTGAGGTGTGAGACGACTGTGTAGGAGGTGCAAAAGGTGGGGGTTAAAACACATTGTATGGCTCTTAAAATGGGTCAGGTTGATAGAGATTAAAGGAGGAGTTTTGGAGACAGCTGTTGGGAGTTATTAATACTACTGTCTACAAAGATTTAAGGCTAAATTTAAATATCACATGAATATTGTCAACTACCAATTTGAGGCAAGAAAAATTATTTAGGCTTTCGAAGTGGAAATTTTCAAAATTGTATATGTGTATAAATACAGTTCCCCTCCCACTTAAGGATGGGAAGGATTGAAACTATTAAGCCCCAGGGAACAAGGTCATATCTCTTAGAGTACTCTTTTGAAGTGGACCCTCTCAAGTGTAGGAGATTCTTTACCGATACTTTTTACAGTTCCTTTCTCCTTTTGACTTTAGTGATCTGATCAGTAGTAATAAGTATCCTGCTGTCAATATCCTTATAGTGTTGTTTGTAATCTCTCTATCCTTGCAATGTATTTTGAATGCCATTTTTTTTCTAGTACCTTTTTTACATTCCCATTCATTTTGTATAGCACACTAAAACTCTACAAAATCTTAGAATATTCATGGTTTAGCTTTCATTTCTGTTTGTTTTTTAAAATCTTTGTTAAAGTTCTCTAAATATTAACAACCTTTAATGATAGATGCCATTTTTCAATTCCAGGCGGCAAGTTTAATGCAGAACCCTCAAGTTCAACAGCTGTAAGTATATAGAAAGAATGTATTATATTTTCCCCCTTCCACTTGGCAGGCTCCTAATTTGAGCATATTTGCTCCAAAATGATAAAACTGCCCTGTATGCCAGTCAACTGGAACTTAAAGCCACACACATTTGACCTACACAATGTAGGTATATTTAAGTGACTTGTCCTTGGCCAGTATCCTACTTGTAAAGAACGTATGCTAGTCCAGTGATGTATCTCTTGCTTACTCTAGAATGTCAGGAATGATGACAAATGCCATTGGGGGACCTGCTGCTGGAGTTGGGGGCCTAACTGACCTGTCCAGCCTCATCCAAGCGTAAGTGTTACTTAAAATAGAAATAGTAAAACATCTTGTATGTTTTACAGTTTGTCTGTGAAGGGACCAGGGCTTTCTTTTTTAACTTTTATCTTTTACTGTTAGTATCAGTGGCCTTACTAGTTATTAAGTCTAAAAAGTTCATAAGTTGGAATTTTCAGACTGAAGGGCAGGAATATAGATCTGGATCCAAGAATAAGTTTTCCAGCAGATTTGAATACTCAAGGATAAAGATGAAAGTCAAATAGCTACTTAAAGTATGCATTCTTTTAGGTCCACCTATATATTTAAAAATCACATGGTACATCTATTACTGTTTACTTTAGGAAACTATTATATTCAAACTTTTTCAGTGTGTGTTATAACTAAAGGAACTCCTTGCATCTTCTCATGGTCACCTTCACTTCCATCCACGTTAAGATGCTCTGCTTTTTGAATCTGTGTGTGATGCTGTCACTGAAAAATTTTGTACGAAGCCATGGGTACCATTTGCTGTTTGTGATCCACGTAACTCCATTTGCAGTATTGCATTTTTAGAGTGATCTTTACATGGCATGATTATAGTGATGCCCAACACTTGCAATTGATGCTCACACTTCAAGAATTTGTATTAAATTTCTTTGCCTTTTAAAAATCAGTTCTATTCAGTGACTTCTCTACACATCCCAAAATGAGCGTGACATCTGTCATACATGACACCTAAGACTTGACGACAAGAGCAAATACCTTGCTTTATGTTTGAGCATATCCAATAAAAGCATGTACATTTTAACCCTTCGCTTATTTGTGGTTAAGCACCAGAGGGGGTGAATTTCACCCAATTGAGGAACTCGCTTTTTAGCTTGGGTAGTTTCGTTTCTTATAAAAAGTAATGCCCTATAATAATGCTATCTGGAGACACTGGTAAACTCGCAGATACTAAAGCTGTGATTCTAAAATGTTTTTATAGAAAAAGTTCTCTTTGGGGAGTACCCACATCCTTTGCAGTTCTTTCTGCAGCAGTGTTGTGTGACTGGAAATCCCCTCATTCATACCCCTTTGCCTCTTTACTTACAGGGGACAGCAGTTTGCTCAGCAGATACAGCAACAGAATCCTGAACTAATAGAACAGCTGAGAAATCACATCCGGAGCAGATCCTTCAGTAGCAGCACCGAAGACCATTCCTGACCTGGCCAGGGACTCCAGCCCAGAGTGCAAATGGTTATGGCTCTGAAGTGGTTGCTGTAGATAGTGGCCAAAAAACAAACAAAAACCCTGAGGAATAAATCTGTCTAGACAGTAGGTTTATCACAAACAGACTTGAACATAACATGACTCCTTTGTAAACAAATCATCAGTACCCTTGTTAAGTGGCAGTACAGCACTGGACAGGGTACCATTTTCAAATGGTCATCGTCACATTTGTACATTAGACTTAACAGCAGACTGTATCGACTGAACAGTGAGGCTGTTCTATGGTGAGTTCTCTAGCTCCAGATTCCCTTAAGCAAACATTTTTGAAAGGGGAGATGACTAAGAGGAAAGATTTCTTATGCTGGGTTAGAAGTGTACTTGCCACTGATCAGCATGTCCGGAGAGAAGAAATCTGTCATCTGGGTTTAGCTTTAATGATGCTGTCAGTAATGAATACATACCAGAGGGGCCAGGACTATCTTTATTGCTGCTTGTTCTGATGGGTGACAGGGAATGCTAGGAGCTGGTGGAAAGCAGCATTTATTGGAAGGGCTGTTGATTTGAAAAGAAAAAAATCGATGCTGTGAATATATAAAAAGGGAAGGTAGGTAGGTAGGATGCTCAGGTTTTCTGCATAGTTCTTAGCTAATCTCGCCTGCAGTTTTGTATTGGTTAACATCAGCATGGTCAATTATGCTAAGTACATAATAAAATACATTTAGGAATCCTTAATGGTACTGGGTAGATCAGTTGTATAACTAACTATTCAGTTTAACTAGCACAATTTCCTCAGTGGTGACCTTACCATGGAAACTCTCAAATATACCTATGTTTAAATAAGCCAATGACTTGGCCCTTAAGGATTTTCTAAGTGGTGTTTAGTTATGTGCCCATAAACACTGTTTTGTTTTTTTAACAGTAATTATTTGATGAATAACAAAAAGCATCTATCCCTAACAATGCTTGTTCATGTAACCCTCTGCTATAATTTGGTTTGGCATGTTGCTTTTATGCTTAACCTTAATTTGATGCAACTTAAACTTAATAGGGGGCTTAAAATATTATACTGAAATTAGAATACATATTAGTTTGTGGAGAGAAATGGCATTGTTCGGTATTAATGACATGGCTCTAACTACAGTGATGGGTGAGATTGTTCTAAATCCAACTGGAATTTCTTTTGTTTGTTAATTATGAAATTGGTTAAGTTGGGCAGACTTGTAATGATTTCACAAGTGCTTGAGAGAAAACAAAAATAAAGGAATATTAAATTAGTAATACTGCTGATGATCAGGGCCTTACTATAACTATTCTCAAAAGGCTACTTATTATCTTGAAGTTTAAAAACCAATGTTTCCTTTCCCTTTGTGAGATTAGACCAGTGATTCTATATTTCACTGTCAGAATCATCAGGGAATTTGTTAAAAATGCAGATGCAGGACCACACCTTCAATTTTTATTTAGTAGGTCCTGTAATAAGGAACCACCATTTTACACAGTACACCAGGTGGTTCTGATATAGATCCAAAGACTTTAAATTAGAACAGCACTAGGTTAGAGATTTCTCCTCAGTTAGACCAGCAAATACCTAATCCCCCTGAGCTCAGGCTACAACGAAGACATATAAACATATAGTTTTGGCCAGAGAAGAGCAGGACCTAAGTCTTAGGCCCTCTGAATTAAATCTCCTATATTCCATCTAAACCAACTTAATGTTTCATAAGTTAAATTCAGCTCCTAGTGTTCAAGTGTTACACAAAATGAAGTACTAAATGAAAGTGAGACTGATGAAAAGAAAGGAAAGTTGATCCTTAATTAAAAATTAGTCACTCTTACCCAGTATTAAGAAAAAGTTTCTAGTATAACTATCATGAGTGCATTAAAAATGCTTTCAGATTGATAAAATTGGTAAGCCTCCAACTTTACTGACTAGGAAAATAGAGAAAATACAAAGCAACAGTATCATAAGTGAAAGAGGAGATATTACTGCAGATATCCTATAGACATAAAAGGATCACTAGAAAATAACACAACCAACTCTAGGTTCATATATTTAGCAACTTAAGACAAAACAAAGCTCACTGAAGAAATGGATATCTTCCATCAGAAAAGAAAACTACAATAATCCCAAATGATTTCAATAGGGAATTCTACCAAACACTTAAGGTAAAAATACTATCAATTCTATATAATCTCTTCCAGGAAATAGAAGAGGAGGAAAAATTTCCCAACTCATTTTATATACCTATTACTCTAATACCAAAATCAGACAAAGACATTATAAGAAAAAAATACTTTAAAACCATGTCTTGATTTGCTAATATCTGTTGTGAAGGTAGACATTCTTTTTATAAGAAGTAATGGGAATTGTTGTGTTTCTTCCTTTTTACCTTTCCAGTTAGTTTCTTTGCTAATATACCACCTATAACAAATTCATTCTAGATGATATCTGTCCACTTACCTGTATTTCCATTGGACTGAAGCCAGTGTTGGTCTTCAAGTACCTTCATCACGTTGGAATGACTGCATTTTAAGAAAGTGTTGTATAGTTGGATTTCCTGGCTACTCTCAAAATTATAAGGAATGCCCCCAATATTATTCATGCTTATCTAGAACAAGACAGCATTGAGGTAAATCTTTATATACATTCTACTTAGGAATGGCTGACTTCCATTAACCACATTTCATTGTAGCAGCTGTAGCTGTTATAATGGTGTTAAACTTAAAATGTCTTTTTTATGCAAATGACATTTTCATTTAATGTACCAAACTGTTTATCTAATTTTTATAATATGGTTTAAACAGGTCCTTTCTAAGATAACATTATCTAACCTTTACTTAAAGAATGAAAAATATGTGTCTAGATTATTGCATATAAAAAGAGACTTTGGAATTAAGTCAAATTATATAGCATATTTCAAGTGACCATGATATGTTACTTTTTAAATTTGAAACAGAGTAAAATAGAAGGCTCAGTCATGAAAAGATGCTTAAAAAACAATCAAAACACCCAGTGCAGTGGCTATAAAATCTTATTTATCACTTTATCAATCTTACTCATTTTAGAAGACAGACATTTTACACTTCTTGTACTTTATTTTGTACATACGTTTCATTATCACTCTAATTTAAGGGGCAAATCTCACTCTGAATATAGCTTTCACTTTGGACCAATTTGTCATGGCAATCAATAATTATGCATTTAAGAAAAACCAATTTTTGTATTTGACTTAATGTACTCTTACATTTAAGCAATTATATATACCTCCTTGAATTGCATTTTACCAAAATAAGTTTTTAGTTAACAGCATAACCTTTTGTTTTCCTGACAGAATATTGCAACTTTCAGTACATTCATGTTGCAAAGCTGTTTAGAATCTTAATTTTTCACTGTTTTGTTCTTGGCATAAGTAAATTAGTGTAATTACATGCAAAAATACAAAGTTTAATAATATTACATAATTTAGAATTCAAAATCAAATATTAGAAGCTGGAAATCCTTTAAATATGCCTATGAAAATAAGTGGCTTATTTTTTTATGGGAAAAAACCCCCAGGACTTTTGGACTTAAAAATTATCAGGCTTCTTAATTAAAAGTGAACAGAGTAATCAACAATCTAAGAAATAAAACTAATTCTGATCTGCTATAACTGAAACTTAGATGTGTGTGTTTGTATGTCTACACAAACACAGTTACATACCAATACAATCATTTTGAAAACAACTAGACAAATTCATAGTGTGTTAGCAAATATAAGGTTACATGAGGAGTACCCAGTTGTTAACAAACTTTTTCTGTTGAATGTGGAGCTAAGAAAAACACGGGGGTTAACTGAAATATTCCTAAATAAACTATTACACAGATTCTAAAGTGTTGAGAAATAACTGTATCTTCTAGAACTAGTTTGAGGTCAGCAACGATGGCCTGCAGGCCTCCTGCCTGTTTTTGTAAACACTGCTGTGCTTTTTGCCTGCTGGATACTCACAAGCAAAGTGAAGCATTTTCAACAGAAACCACATGGCCTGCAAAGCTTAAAATATTTAGTAGCTGGCTCTTTACATAAAAATTTTTCTGATCCCTGTTCTACATACTTGCTGGGGACACATGGCCTCACATACAGAGCTTTTGGAGAACGAAGTCCAATGGTCATCTAAAATGAAATCAAATAGGGTATGTGTAGAAAATGTACCAATGTTAATTTAGCATATAACTTAAAAGATAAAATCAGTAGTTCTTTTCAAAACAAATATTTAATATTTAACTGTTTTACAGCAAAGAAATTTAAATAATATATACTTGTTTTTGCTGTTGATCATTTTACAAAGGTGACAAAAATACAGAAAGTTCTGTTGAAACTCAATGAAAAGCTTAACATTGGAAATTTTCTTCAGCTTTCCACTTTAACGGCCGAAGATACCACACAGACTTGTGCGATGTCGTCATATTCATATGTTCTCTTTAAAAACGTGTCTGTTAGTCTTAAGCCGGAGATGCTCTATTAAGAGAAAGATACAGGTCTAAGTTTTCATTCATTGGTAATTACCAGAGAAAATATGGATATAGTATATGACTATGGGTTAATGGCCCCCACCTATTGAAATTATTGAAAAGAGAGCATACTTGCAGTCCCTGTACTGAAGACAGTAGAGTGAGGGCAAGGCAGAGAGAAGAACTTGGATTTAATTTTCCAAGCTGTCTTCCTGAAATGCCGCACCAGTGGATAGAATTGGTATTGCACATTTCCAAAACCAGGTCCATAGTCCTTTCACTGCTGGAGGAATCAGAAAAACAGGAATAAATCTTGTTCCTTTCACAAAAAGGTGTGCGATATTCTTCCACTACTGTCAGCGAATTTGTTTTCTGGGTGTCCAGGAGAATAAAAGCCAGAAAAAGAAATGGAAATATATCATTTTTATTTCACTTAAAATAGAGTCAGGAAAATGAAAGGAGATAGCACCTTCTAGGGGTTATAGTGGCACTGAGACTAATCTGCCTGTCTGGAGGTCGGCCTGCTGGTTCTGTTACTGAATACTGGCTCCCTGCTGCTGATCTGTTAACAGTGCTGCCACTTCCCTGGGAGACGTCCAGACACCTGTGTCTATATCTTGTCGCTATGCATCCTTCCAATTTCTGTAGGTACTCCACAGGAAAGAAAGACATACACCGAGTCTGATCTAAGTAGCAGTGTTTCTGCTAGTTAATCTATGTTTCTTTACCATGCAGATAACATAGAAAATAACTGACAACATTTATAAGAAGTAAATACTATTCAATTTTGTTCACTTTACCACAAAAAGCCTGCTTTTGCTTATAATTAATATCACCAGTTCGGCTTAAACATGTTAAGTTAAAAAAATAAACCTTAATGAAAGTAAGCATTTTTTTAAAAAAAACAAGACTCGTGATAAAAAATAGTTTCTTCCTCTACCACTATTCATGACTACTTTCAACTCTCTTAGCCTTTCCCCCCTCATAGATGGCTTCATATTTTAAAATATTTTAATTTTAATATATTGATTTTTGGACATCATGATTTAATGATATTTAGCTTTTATATATCTCTGTCTCCTCAACAAACATTTGAAATGTCCATTAAGTGGTACAGACCAGGTTAGATGAATTACATGAATTACCTCATTAAATTTCACAAAAATCCTGTAAGTATATTGTATGTGTGTGTGTGTGTGTGTGTGTGTGTGTGTGTGTGTGTGTGTGTGTTTTGGGGGCAAGATAAATCCCATTTCTATAGATAAGGAAACTGAAGATCTAAGAAATAAGAGCTTTTTAGAAAAAACCCATTTGAATCACCAGAAGTTAAAGTGAACACTGAAAGAAACGGAATTTATTTTTTATAGCACTTTGTCTTTTGGTCAATAACTGATTTGCTATACCTCAAAAAACGCAAACAAAAAATCCAAAAGCACACCATAGATGCACAGGATCTCTACCCTGTGTGTGGTGTTCGCTGAGCTCCTGTGGTGGGGCAGGCACTGGATTGACAGTGCAGGGTAAGACAGGGTCTCTTCTCTTGAATAATTCAGTCTAGTAAGGAAGAGACTAATACTTGTAGCAATATATGAATGTCACTAAAACTATATTAAAATTTTTTATGGTAGAGAAAGGGATGATTAACTGTTTATGGGAAGGTCCAGGTAGCTTCACAGGGGAAGCAGGAACTTTTGTAATTGTGAAGGATAACTATTTCCTATTCCACTCTTTGTAAGGTTGGAATGGATATGGAATTAAAAAGGATTATACATTCAGACTATGAGGGTTGGGATTCATCACTGCAATATTATCAAAATGCCCCAAATAACAGTATATACAAGTAGCAATAGAAGGAGTAGCAAAAGTGGTAGGACTGAAATGTAATCCTAAGGTTTTTTTGTTGGTTGTTCCTTGGCTTCAAAGCCCTGTGCTCTTTGCTTCCCAATAGCTAGATTATACTCTCCCTTTATTATCAAAGTCCTGTTTTCCAATCTATGATTATCTCTTAAATTTATAACCAATTTTTACTTTCTTAATACTAAAGATACAGCTCAGGTATAGTATGTTTCGGAAAACTTATTACATTAAAACTATAACGTATTATTCCCTAAGAATCTACTAGTCCATGCTTTAGTAATCTCAAGTATGAGGGAAGTGTAAACAATGAAAAGAATATGGACTTTAAAGTCAAATACATCTGGTTTCAAATTCTGGCCCCAATTTTCTAGCTCTCTGAGCTTGAGTGAGTCACTTAACCTCTGAGTTGACTTTCTCTTGCATAGAATGTGAATAATAGTTACCTCACAAGGTATGATGAATGTAATTAAATACAGAAAATGCTTAATGTATTGTAGTAGGACCTCAAAAATATGTAAAATACAGCTACCAGATGAAGAAATTTATGGTATTCAACATCAGTGTCAGAGAAGGCTATATGTCAAGAGGAAACTTAAAATGAGACAGCATATTTAAAAGATTTAAAAATTCTCTTTTAGGTAAGTGAAGAGGAAAGGAGATCCATCCACAAATATTGGCATTACCTGCAGTTTGTTATTTTACAGGTAATATGAAAAGGTTCTTCTAGGTTTACGGTATCTGGGATTGCCTCCAAAGATAACCTAACATCTCCATAGCCAGGAGCCTAAGAGAAAAAACAACACGATTAACATCTATTACAAAATCTTTCCATTTTAATGACAGTACCACACCAATACATGCACTCAACAGTTGTTGGGTCCCCAAGCTGATGTTGAGAAAATATTTTTCAGTCATTCTACTGTTCTTCATTCTAACTTCCTTTGCTGCTATTACCTGTGGAATAGCATGATAGACCCTGACTGTTTTTGCTATAATTACTCCATTGTTCACTAGAGTTAAAATGAGTCTCATAGGTAGTCTGTAAAGAAATTTTAGGAGGTCTGAATCTTAAGGGGATGTTTTCCAAAGATACTGTAGCTTATACATCCATAACTCTAAATAGGTAAGTTTACTGCCTAAACAGAAAGGAGATAATCACTTAGAAATGATCCAGGAAGAAAACCATGTCTCTTCAGACATATGGGCAGGAATGGACCACAGAAACATCAAAGCTTGAAACGTTGCCATGGCAGAGGATAGCTAATTGCTACATTTAAAAATAGGCCCCGTGATACTAGACTTATTGGGGTGATTACTGTGTAAGTTATATAAATGTCTATAATCACTATGTTGTACAACTGAAACTAATATGATATTGTATGTCAACTGTAATTGAAAAATAAAAAGGCCCAGTGGTAATCATTTTTTTTTTCAAATTGTTACCGCAAACCGTTAAAGAAAAGTAAATTTTAGAATATATCTGAACAGGTAGTATTTATCACAAAAGGGGGATTCTGTAGCATAGTCTAATTAGCACAACAAAAAGAAGACTGGTAGCTACCCCTACATTCAGAGCAGAAATCCACTAAAATATCCAACCAATGCTTACAAGGTAATTTTAGTGGGACTCACCTTCTGGGTTTCAGATGACTCAGAATTAAACATCTTTTAAAAAAAGGGTATGAACTGAGTAGGTGACTGTACAAAGAGTTTAGGATGTTGCAAAAAAGAAAACTTTAATATAATGAAAGTCAGATGTACAGTGAGTGTGAATTACCATAGGAGGGAACAACTGATAGCAGTTATTTTAATTTCTGTTTGGGAAAGTAAAAAAACTATCAAGTAAAAATTAATATTTGCATATTGTTCATTAATCTTGATACCAATTTTCTACCTAGAAGATCAGTGAAATTATTAGTCTTTTATCTCTAATTCTCTTTATAGTGCTCTGATTTTAAATGATAGACCTAGGAACATTTATTTTTATTTATTTTTATTTTTTTAAAGATTTTTTTTTTTAATTGGGTAATTGGGGGGATGGGAACAGTACTGGGGAACCAGGGGAAGGGGAACAGACAAGCTGCCGTCGTCCCCGTTCTTCAGTCTAGTTGCGGAGGACACCGCCCCACCGGCCCAAGTTGGCACCATCACTGCGCTCCTCCCCGGCGAGGCAGATCAGTCGCCGGCTTCTGGACGGCCGCTCACTGCGGCTGCTGGCCGCTCACGCTGGCTGCTGGCTACATATGGCAGCCCATGGCAACCCACTGCCACAGGGACTGCAGCCTACGCCGTCGCCAGCGACCCACGGCAGCCCAGCTCCAGGCTGAGCTGCCGTTCAGCATCCCAGCTGCAGAGGGCAGCGTCACTGGCCCTCACATGCGGGATCCGAACCGGGGCCCTCCGGCATCCCAAGCGAGCTCTCAACCATCGCGCCACTCGGCCGGCCCCAGGAACATTTAAATTGTTCGAACTACCTACCACCTCCCATACCAAAACTCCCACCGAAGTTTTGTTCCAGACTCACCATTCTTTGAAGTTGGCTGGTCTGTAATCTTCCCCTTTCACCTAGATTGGTTTTCCACACAATATCCAATTTCCCGATTACTGTTACTCCCTTAATGATGCCTGCTTTTTCTGCAAACTCCTTCTTGGGTTTTAGGCAGTACAAGTACTGGCGTGTATCCATTGGCTGTAAATATGTTCTTGACCCAAACGTAGTTACACTGAGAGGGATGGAAATAGAGATGGAGAAAATTCTCTAGAATCTTTTAAAAGAAAAATCATGGCTGTAATTGTACCTCTTGACAGGAAGTGAATAATTTACCATCCAAAGATCTAGAACAGCACAGCTCAGTGGTTTCAACACAAGTGAAAAGAACTTGGACTGAGAAGATTTATTTTTAATTTTTTTCAGTTGATATGGAAAATCTCAAGGTTCTTTGTAATAGAATGGAATATATTACCTAAAATATTGAATGTGTATCAAGTAACTGAAAAAATTCAATAGAAAGTAGAACTGTAAGTATCCTTTGTTTTCTCTACAATTACCAAAGAAAATAGTTAAGAATAAGAAGAAACATAACATTATAAACTAAGTAATCATTTCCAAAAGATCAGGAAGAGAATGGTAAATTGTTTTCCCCAATGGGTGTATGGGAGGCTATAAACTTTTCTATATCTAACCACTGTAACAACATAAAAGTAAACAGTTCATTCTTGATTAAGAGTCAGGTACTTTCTCCAGCTATTACCTTCTTATCCATATTAATGTCAATACTACATTTATGTATTCTTATTCTAAATTACCTAAAGACATATGTATTTCATTTTCACAAAACATTAAATCTTCCATTCCTACGCCCACTCCTTTTGATGTTGGGAGAATATTTCTTCTTAAAATTCCCCCTCATCCTTACCCTTTCTAACTTCTCCATCATTCCTCCCCATGCCTCAGTTTTATCATTTGCAGGAAAAGATGAAAGGTTCCATTTTTACTTCACTGAATTATTATGAAAATTAACAGAACAGTTATTTAAACAGTAAAACATAAAATGCAAACAACTAGGATCTTTAATTTTTATGAATAGGGAGAGTACAGATTTTTAGGACAGTGAAATTATTTTGAAATATACAGTAATGGTGGACACATGTCATTAGATTTGTCAAAACCCACAGAATGTACAACACGAAAAATGAACCCTAATTTAAACTATGGATTTTAGTTAATAATAAGTATTAATATTGGTTCATCAATTGTAACAAATGTGCCACAATAAAACAAGACATAAATAATAGGACACTGTGAGTGGGGAGGGAGTCATGTGGAAACTACTTTTGCATCAGTTTTTCTATGAACATAAAAGTTTTCTAAAACAATAAAGTCATTAATTAAAAAACAACTACAAACCATCCAAGAGTAACATACGTTAGAAAAGTTCATACGTTTCAAAATAAGAACAAATACTTCATAATTCATATTTACCATTCTCCAGCTTGGTTGACTGAATTTAATTCTGCTACATTGTACATTATAGATGGCTCCAACGAAACTTTCTCCATAAACATGGGTGAGGTTGTAATATTCTGAATCTGGGCTTCCAGAAATACTTCATCAGTCTGAGGATATGAAAACAATATCCACCAAAGTGTGATGGTATTTAAAATATTAACCTCAACAAAAATATCTGATCTATATGAAAAAAAATATTAACCACAAATGTGATTAGTTCATGCCTGCAAATCAAAGTTATCATAATGCAAGAAAATAAATCTTCATCCTAATGTGATTAACAGGGGCAAAGTCAAGTGTTAGTCAACTGATAACTTGTCAAACAATGGATAGGGGATAACTACAATACTTTTTGTATTAACATCCAAAAAATATTTATTTAACTGGAATTTCATTCACAAGTATCCTAAATCTTTTAGTAAGTCATTAAAATGTTAAAATGAAATTTAGTATGAATATACTGCTGCACCTATCATTTTAGTAATATGTTAAGATAATTAGGTTTTTGTAATAACATTGGAGCGTAATATAACTTCAATTGTCAATACTACTTCAATTTAGATAGTATAGCGACCACTACTACAGTGAATTATCTATTTTGTATAATCTTACAGAATTTAACTTTAAAACTGTTAGTGGTCATTAGTAATTTCTTGGTTTATTTTAAAAGTATATTTAGAGCTAAAAAATATGTGAATTATACCTGACAATCTTAGAACTTTTAAATAAAATAAAAGCTATTTTGTAGCCTTAGTGATGGTTTGAAAACTGATGCTACTCAGTAGTATTTTAGTCAATGGATAATTTAAATAAATATTTTTACAAAAATTTTTTATTCCCTGATTATGTTAAACATCCTTCTTTTTTATGCTATTTGATTATTATTTTTGTGTGTGTAATTGAAGGATAAGAAACAACTTGGTTCATTTTTTAAACTCACCTATATAAAAATGATATACTAAAGATATTCAAGTATTAATTTGTTCAAAAGTTTCATAGCAATATACATGCATATAGAAATAAAACAAAATTAACTATGACCAAATCATTTGGCACTTATAAGTTTTTTAAACAGTAAATCCAGGGAAATGGAAATCATTTGCAAAAATATAATGATGAAGGTATAATCTACTGTATTATTATCTAAAATAAAATAGATTCTTTAGTCCTTGGCACATGAGCTCAAATAAAAACAGAAATACGATGATGTATTTATCAGTTTAAAAGAATATACCATTTAAAGGCATTTTTCTGTTAATTTTTCTTAAAAAACGAAAACCAAAAACTACATATATATCCCATCAATCCATTGCTTTAAAAATAACCATAGACCCACATTTCAGTTTTAAAAATTCAATTTCTGCATAAATTTAGGAAGAGTTTAGATAAAATGAAAGAAAAACAAGCAGCATAATGGAAAATTAAGTTAGTATGAACAGTTAGTACAAAATAATTAGACATTTGAAAATTTAAGAATTCAGTGCTAAGGCAGTTGTTATTATGTACATAATGTAACACTGCATAAGCAAATACTGCATATATTAAATAGAAATTCGACAATATGGTTAGCCAACTTGGACAAATTTGTTTTCTTCAGTTTATTGTTGTCAAAGGGCCATCTTTACCTGACCCAGACTTAAAACTAAAACCACTGTGTTTGAAAATAAATTTGTTTAGAGAACTTAAGTAGAGTAATTTATACTAAAATGGTGAAAATCCCAAGGTTATTTTAAACAAGGTTAACATGCCTCTTCTAAAAAAACACCTATGGGAAAACACTAAATGTGAGAATATAATTGTTTTAGTATGACAATTTAATCTCTGATCACTTTTTCTCACAGAATAAGACAATCAATAAAAAAAAAGTACAAAAAATATATACATTTTTTTCAAGTCAAACAGGTGTTATTCACAACTAACTTCTTTTTCCACTATGTTTTGTGAAAAGCAGTTAATTAGACAGAGATCAAAAAGTGGTAAGGTAAGCATATAAATTTATAATAAAAATCAAATTACCACAGAACTGAGGTCACTCTAATGGGAAAATAAAAAGAAAAAATTAGAAAAATCAGAATTAAATGTTAAAGAAAAAGAATAACTTTAAAATAAAATGCATTTCTGCATTTTTAAAAATTTACTATATAAGACAGCATTAGTAAAACAAAAGTAAACAGAAAGCAACATAAAGAAATACGACAAATCATTTTTCTAAAAAGGTGAAACTGCGAAGGTTAAATGAATAGAGAAGAACACTGTCGGTGAATACCTAAACAGGAGCAAATATGCAAAGGCACATCTTGGGAGAGAGGTATATCTCATGTCTTGCTAGTTCTACAAATTCTTTACCTACATTGTAATTCTTCATGTATTACCTAAGATTCATATATACTATCCTCCACACTTAGAATGGACACACTGTAGAGCTTCTCCTAAATTTATCTAATAATGGAATCCTTTTTTCAAGGAGCATCTTGGGAGATTAGGGTTCTATGGATCATACTTCAGGGAATGCTGGGCTAGACCACCTCAGACTAAATTTAGTTTATTCTGTTCTTGTTAATAGATTTCATAGTCTTTTTTTTTTTCATATATATTTCTAAAGCTACCTATTTATCAAGAGCCATCTCAAATGTCCTTCTAGCTGGAAATCATATTTCACCTCTGTATTTTCTCATAGTATTAGTACACTTTATGATCTAGTGGGGGAGGGATGCTTATATTGCAGTTATGTCACACCTGTCTCTTCCACTATATCTAAGTTACTTGAGGATTGGGAAGGTGTTCAGCTTATATATTCCTCTTCAGTACCTGGCATGGAGCTCTGTACCCAGCAGGCGACCAAACGTTTGAATCCTAGCTTTTAATGTCACGGATCTTGCAAAGCTCTTATTTTACTTTATTATTTTTTAAAGATTTTATTGGGAAATTGGGGGAGGGGAACCACATTGAGGAATCGGGGAAGGGGAACAGACACGTTGCTGTCCTTTTGTTCTTCAGTCTAGTTGTGGAGGACGTCACGTCACTGGACCATGTTGGTATTATCACTGCGCTGTTCCCGGGTGAGGCAGTTGCTCGTCGGCCACTGGATGGCTGCTCTATGCCGCATATGGCAGCTCATTCTGGCTGCCAGTCACTCATGGTAGCCCACTGCAGCAGGGGCTGCAGCTGACTCATGGCAGCCCAGCTCTAGGTTGAGCTGTTGTTCACCATCTTAGCTGTAGAGGGCGCAGCGTCACTGGCCCTCATGTGGGATCCGAACCAGGGGTCTGCTGCTCAGAGCTTGGCACTCCCAAGTGAACTCTTAACCAACGCGCCACTCGGCTGGCCCAAAGCTTTCTTATTTTAGAAGACTACAACAAAGTTTCTCAAAAAACCTTGTTTCCCTTTAGGTGATTCACATATTATTAGAATTCCTAGAAACAGCATAAAAAATGTTCCCAACAAACATAGGGCTAATTATAGTTGTTGCCTGAGGACTATGGCATGGAACAATAATCATAACCTACTAATATTAGAGTGGTTTACTAACTCCTATACTTTCCCTGAATTTCCTAGTTGGGGGTCATTAGAGTCGGCCTCAGGTTACAGGCTGAACAATATTTGTTTGCTTAACAGGTATTACTGAATATCTTAGAGAGACCCTAAATCCTATTTGTTTACTCCTGATTTTTAAAGAGTTGTCTATTTTCAAAAGTTTTTTTTATTGCTGGAGTTTGCTGGCAAAATTTAAAGATTATGTCTATATATAATGTTAAGTGAAAAAAGCAGCCTAAATTGGTCCTATGATTATAAAAACAGATTACATATAAATGAGTAAAGACTGGGAATATGGATTAATAAAAAATCAATTACTTTTTTGTGTGATAAAATTGTGGGTTTTTTCCTTTTGGGGGAGTATGTCACTTTTGTAATATTATTCATGGAATAAATAGCAATTTAAAAAACTATTTGTAAATCACTCTGAATATTGATACAAAACTACCTGTCAACTATCTTATGTACCAACACATTTTCAACAAAGAAAACCTAAAATAGCTTAATATGTGCTTTCCTAGGAGCCAATTATAGAAAAAAAGACCTACCTACTACCCTATTTATTTCTAATTTTCTTTCTTTTTTTCAATTTTAATTTTTTTATTAGTTTCGGGTGCACAAAACAATGTAATAGACATTTACATGCCTCACAAAGTGATAACCCCCCTCCCCCCAAGCTACTACCCACCTGGCATCATATATAGCTGCTACAATTCTGTTGACTAAATTCCCTATGCTATACTCCACATCCCGTGATTCTATATATACATATATATTTAATATATACATATACAGTAAAACCTTGGATTGCAAGTAACATGGTTTGTGAGTGTTCTACAAGACAAGCAAACATTTCTGATACATTTTAATGTGGTAAAAGCGATGTCTTGCAATATGAGTAGTTTGTTTCCAGAACGAATTATGCTCACAAACCAAGGTATTATTGTGTGTGTGTGTGTGTGTGTGTGTGTGTGTGTGTGTGTATATTTAATACAATATTATTCAATTTCAGCTTCAGGTGTATAGTGCAGTGGTCAGGCATCTATCTATACAATCTATGAAGTGGTCTCCCTAATAAGTGCCCACCTGGCACCCTACATCATCTTTACAACATTATAGATTATATTCCTCAAACTGTCTTTTATATCCCTGTGAAAATATTGTGACTACTAATTTGTGCTTTCTAATCCCTTTACCTTTTTCCCCATCCCCCCACCTCCAGTCTAGCAACCATCAGTTTTTTTCCCCCTATATCTCTGAGTCTATTTCTGTTTTGTTTGATCACTTATTCTGTTTTTTAGATCCCATATATGAGTGAGATTATATGGTATTTGTCTTTCTCAGTCTGACTTATTTCACTTAGCATAATATTCTCTAGTTCCACCCATGTGGTTGCAAATGGTAAAACTTCATTCTTCTTTATGGTCGAGTAATACTCCATTGTACAAATGTACCAGTTTCTTTATCTAATCGTCTCTCAGTGGGCATTTTGGTTGTTTCCATGTCTTGGCTATTGTGAATAGTGCTGCAATAAACAAGGGTGCATATATTGTTTCGAATTAGTGTTTTGAATTTCTTTGGGTCGACACCAGGAGTCCAACTGCTGGGTCATAAGGTAGTTAGTTCCATTTTCAACTTTTTGAGGTACCTCCGTATTGTTTCCCATAGTGACTGCACCAATCTGTAATCCCACCAACAGTGCACGCGAGTTCCCTTTTCTCCACAACCTCGCCAGCACTTGTTTGTTGATTTACTGATGATAGCCATTCTGACTGGAGTGAGGTGGTATCTTATTGTGGTTTTTATTTGCATTTCTCTAATGATTAGTGACATTGAGTATTTTTTTATATGTCTGTTGGCCATCTATATGTCCTCTTTAGAGAAATGTCTCTTCATGCCCTCTGTCCATTTCTTAATTGGGTTGTTTGATTTTCTGGTGTTGAGTTGTATAAATTTTTTATAAATTTTGGATAGTAACCCCTCATCAGATGTGTCATTGGCAAATATCTTCTCCCACTCAGTATGATGCCTTTTTGTTTTATTGATGGTTTCCTTTGCTGTAAAATAAACTTTTTAGTTTGATGTAATCCCACGTTTATTTTTTCATTTGCTTCCCTTGACCACAGGGATAAATCAGTAAAAATATTACTAAGGGTAATGTCTGCAAATTTACTTTCTATACTTTCTTCTAGAAATGTTATGGTTTCAGATCTTACATTTAAGTCTTTATAATTTATTTTGAATTTATTTTTGTATATGGTGTAAGAAGGCAGTCCAGCTTCATTACTTTGCATGTGTCTGTGCAGTTTTTCCACACCATTTATTAAATAAACTGTCTTTAGCCCAGTGTAAATTCTTGCTTCCATTGTCATAGATTATATGACCGTATAAGAATGGATTTATTTCTGGGCTCTCTATTCTGTTTCTTTGATCTATGTGTTTTTTGTGCCAATACCATGCCATTTTGATTAGTATAGCATTGAAGTATGACTTGATGTCAGGTAGCGTGATACCTCCCACTTTGTTCTTATTTCTCAAGATTGTTGTGGCTATTTGGGGTCTTTTATTTTTTTATTAATACATCTGTATTTGTCACCTTTTAAAGTGAAATGTGACCTGGGCACAATGTTTCCATTCACAAAACTTGCTCTGGTTACTTCCCAACGTGCCTCGGTCGGCAGGCTCACAATTCTGCTCCTCTAAAGAACACTTTTCTTTGGAAAACAAACCCTATGGATAGTTACTCCCATCAAGTTGGTTCAGCTTAACATACTAACTTCTAGAGGTGGGTACATGCAGTTAATAACTACAAGTTGGGGTCTTCTATGATTCCATATAAATTTTAGGATTATATGTTCCAGTTCCGTGAAAAATGTCATTGGTAATTTGATAGGGATTGCACTGAATCTATATATTGCCTTAGATAGTACGGGCATTTTAACTATATTAATTCTTCCTATCCAAGAGCATGGTATATGTTTCCATTTATTTGTATCTTTAATTTCTTTCTTCAATGTCTAATAATTTTATGAGTATAGGTCTTTTATTCCTTGGTTAAATGTATTCCTAAGTATTTTATTGCTTTTGAAGTAATTGTAAATGGGATTGATTTCCTGATTTCTTCTTCTGATTATTATTGGTATATACAAATGCAACTGATTTCTGAGTATTAATTTTGTATCCTGCTACTTTACTAAATTCGTTTATCAGTTCTAATAGGTTTTTGGTGTAATCTTTGGGTTTCTCTCTAAATGGTATCATGTCATCTGCATATGACAACTTTACTTCCTCTTTTCCAATTTGGATGCCTTTAATTTCTTTTTCTTGTCTGACTGCTGTAGCTAGAACTTCCAGAACTATGTTGAATAAAAGCGGTGAGAGTGGGCAACCTTGTCTTGTTCCTGATCTTAAGGGGAGTGCTTCTAGCTTTTCCCCATTGAGTATGATGTGAGTTGTGGGTTTATCATATGGCCTTTATTATGTTGAGATATGATCCCTCTATTCCTACTTTGCTAAGAGTTATTATCATAAATGGATGCTGGATTTTGTCAAATGCTTTTTCTGCATCTACTGATATGACCGTATGATTTTAGTTTTCCATTTTGTTAGTGTGGTGTATCATGTTAATTGATTTGCAGATACTGAACCAACCTTGCATACCAGGAATGAATCCCACTTGATCGTGGTGTATGATCTTTTTAATGTATTGCTGAATTTGGTTTGCTAATATTTTGTTAAGGGTTTTTGCATCTATGTTCATTAAGGATATCAGCCTACAGAGTTTTTGTAATGTCTTTCTCTGGTTTTGGGATCAGGATGATAGTGGTTTTGTAAAATGAGCTTGGGAGCCTTCTATCCTTCTAGATTTTTCGGAATAGTTTGACAATAGGTGATAATTCTTATTTGAATGTTTGGTAAAATTCACCTGTGAAGCCATCTGGTCCAGGGAGCTTGTTGATTACCAATTCAATTTTGTTGGTTGTAATCATTCTGTTCAGATTTTCTGTTTCTTCTTGATTCAGCCTTGGAAGATTGTATATGCTTCTAAAAATTTATCCATTTCTTCCAGATTGTCTAATTTGTTGGCATATAGTTGCTTGTAGTATTTTCTTAAAATTGTTTTTTTTGTATTTATGTGGTGTCTGTTGTCACTTCTTTTTCATTTCTGATTTTAATTTGGATCCTCTCTTTCTCTTGATGAGTTTGGCTAAAGGTTTGTTCATTTTGTTTATCTTTTCAAAAAAACTAGCTCTTGGTTTCATGGATCTTTTGTATTTTTTTTTGGTCTCTATTTCATTTATTTCCATTTTGATCTTTATCATTTCCTTCCTTGTACTCCCTTTGGGCTTATTTTGCTGTTCTTTTTCCAGATCCCTTAGGTGTAAAATCAGACTGTTGATTTGAGATTTTTCTTGTTTCTTTAGGTAGGCCTGCATTGCTATGAATTTTCCTCTTAGGACTGCTTTCACTGCATCCCATAGATTTTGGGTTGTGTTTTTATTTTAGTTTGTCTCAAGGTATCTTTTGATTTCTTCCTTGATCTCATTGTTGACCCTTTGATTGTTTAGCAACATGTTAATCAGCCTTCTAATTTTCTCACATATCTATTGTAACAGAAGAGTTACACCAATCTCCCCTCATGCTATGAATGAAATCTTTCCTAAGAAAATGAGAAATTAATATGACTATTTAAAATTTACCAAGCTGAATAACTATATTAATGAACATTATACTAGTCATCAAAAAATGTGAAACAAATATGTAGTATCAGAACTCCCCTCCCACGCCACCCCAAAAAAGTTAACTCTTTAAACATAAAGAGTTCTCCTTGATGAGACTTTATCCTCCTATCAAATATGTATGCTCTTCACTACAGTATTCCACATGTGTTTGCAACTCTGCTAGGAATTCCTTCACTGCCCTGACACTTTGATGTTTCTAATATCCATTCCTTCCAGACTATTCCCCTCCTCGTCCATGAAGCTTCCTCAGACTATTCTAAAATCTCATCCTCAAAATTCCTGTAGCACATCTTTTTATATCATTCTCTTTAGACTCACTATACACTATATTAAGCAGTTTTGTTATTTTATGCCATTTTTTCTTTTCTCCTAATAGGTCTTTACTGCAGGTCAGGTTGACATCTTAGTATGCCCAGTTGTAGAACGAACTTTATACTAAATAAAAACTCAGATGCTGATGGTAAAAATATCTACCAAATTTAACATGTGATTGCAAATTTCTGATTATCATCTGGTTTCAGAGTAATAAAGATATAACTTTCATTTCAAAATATTTTATAGTTGAATATCTCTGAATTTATCACTGTGGTATGAAATATGACTTGGGGGGGTAAGGGGCCCATTAGGAAATCGGCTTTCTCTGGAGTTCCAGAAGCCAGGATTAAAATAAAATTTTGTAAAAGAAACACAAGCAATAAAACCTTTTTCCAATGGCAAATTCTATTTTCTCTTTTGTTAGGATAGAATATAGATTATCTTCTATTCTAAAAGTTACTTCTTTCTATATTTTTGCCAAACTTATTTCTCCCAATGAGCATTTCAAGCCGTTTACCAAACTCAACATCCAAACTCTGCCTGGCACACTGACTTCTCAGGACAACAATTTAATATGCTGAGCTCTACTTGTCAATATTTTTCCATGTAAATATTAAATATTTTTTGCAGTATTAGATCTATTACTTTAATTTTTCTAACACCAGAGCCATATTGTAAATATTCAATAGATTGCTAATATTTTTAGACAGTAACAACCACCATTAAATGGAATAATAGGGCCATAATTTATAAAAGAGGTGGAAAAAAACCTCACAAAATTAACAATGAGGATAAAAATTAAGGCATATTGATTCCATGTAAATTGAAGATAGCAAATTAAAAGAGATCTACAATGAAATTATTCACTTTTGATTGAACTTTATGCTCATTTTTCACAATTTGCAATAATAGCAATTTACTTCAATACAAAATGTAATACATAAGAATTTTAGTCAAATAGGATCTTAATGTTTAATCTGAAATCCCATTAAGTGCCCAACACTTACCTCTGCATTGTAAAATTTGGTTTTCACATCCAGTGGTTTGAGAACCTAGTTGAATAAAGCATATCAATCAGAGGAGATTCTTATCATTTGATCATTTATTTTTGTTTGTTTGTTTTAAATAAGTAGGGCTTAAAATTGTCAAAGGTGGGCCGGCCCAGTGGCTCAGTTGATTAAGAGTTGGCTTAAGAGCGCAAGCTCTGAGCAACAGGGCTGCTGGTTCGATTCCCACATGAGCCAGTGACACAGCGCCAGAGCTGAGCTGTCGCTGAGCTGCCAACAGGTGGCAGGATGGCTCAGGGGATGTAACAACAAGATTGCCTGTTTGATGGTGGGCTACGCCCACCCTTAATTAAGACTGAACTTGGCACCTTGAGCTGAGCTGCCGCTCGGATGGCTCAGTGAATAGAGCATGTGCTCTTAACAACAAGGCTGCCGGGTTTCACTCCCGCATGGGATGGTGGCCATGCCCACCTGCAACTAAGACTGAACTTGGCACCTTCAGCTGAGGTGCCGCCCAGATGGCTCAGTGGATAGACTGTGCGCTCTTAAAAACAAGGCTGCCGGGTTTCACTCCTGCAACTAAGATTGAACACAGCACCTTAAGCTTAGAGGCCAAGAGCTACTGATGGGCAGCCAGATAGCGACTGGCGCCCTCCACAACTAAGATTGAAGAACAACAACTTGGCTGGCCCCCTTCCCCAAGTCCCCAACATTGTTCTCCTCCCACAATTCCCCAATAAAATCTTTAAAAAGAAAAAAAATTGTCAGAGGTATTTTCCAATTTTAACTGTAAAATACTTTTCTAATGAGTATACAATACTCTTGCAAAAACAATTCTAAATGTATTTTTTTTAAAAAGGTAACCATCATTTCTTGATTGGGTGATAGTTACATGGGTTTAACTTCATTACATTTTGCTAAACTGAACACATATTTAAATATTTTTCTTTATGCACATTTCACAAACAAATGTTTATGAAAATAAGCACTTGGAGCTCCTTTATTTTAAAAGGCTGCAAAAAGTCAAACAAATGAGCAATGTAGCAAAACTATGGCAAAAATGTTTCTATTGATAGTACTTTTTTCTTCCACTTAACAGAGAAATGAAAAATATACATAGCATCATATCTAGATCTATATATAGATACATATATGGTAGTCTGATGTTCCCACCCATACAAATACATATATTGGGTAGTCCAAAAAGTCGTGACACATTTTTGCAACGAAAAACAGAAAAAAATACGTCATGACTTTTCTGACAACCCAATATTGAAGCAGTGGTTTTTAACTATATTTGATCATTGACTTTGAATAAACCAAAATTTGGTGTATAAACCAAAATTCCACCTACAATATCAGTGACTCATGGCGTCTCTGATGAAGCTTGGTCCATTCAGCCCAAGTCAATAAGCTCTCATTTAAATATTTCTTTAGAAATTTGATACACTTTACACTGGTCCCCCCCCCCCCCCCCGCCTTCTAGGTTCTCATGTATTTTGTCAAATCATGAAAACAAACAAAAATTTTTTTAGGATAAAAATCTTCAAGTTTCACTATAAAAACATTATATTAGTAATGATAATTTCTCTGATTTTATGTAACTTAATTATGTCTAACTTTAGATTGCTAGTAAATGACAAATCTAAAAATATTAAGCTATTTACTTTATTTGAAGTCTTTTTACACTGTAGATAAAAAAAGAAATAACTGCACACTTGTGGGAAAAAAGTATCTAAAAATCATTTACCATTATCATATTCAATACCTGAAATTTGAAGAATTTTCTAAAATACATTTTTTCTCCACCCTGAGTTGTATAACTCACCGCACACACCAAGCTGAAACAAAAAGATGTCTTAATGATTCTGAATCATTTTCAATTTTGTTTCTTAATAGTAAATCTAACACACATCAATTCTACCTACAATCCGGAAAAAATTTATACCAGTCATGTGCAAGTGTAGTCAAATGAGCCTAGAACAGGGGAAAAAAAAGAGTTCCAGCAGATATGAATATAATTACACGAACAAGGAAGCTCTGATTAGTAAACTCAGATATACAATTTTTGGAGCAGGAAATCTGTACCTTTTCCTTCAAAAGATGAAACATATTCCAAAATAAATTCCAGAATAACCCACTAGTTGAATGTAAAAAGTAAGGTCATATAAACTAGAAGAAATACAATTAAAAAGAAAATTCCAGCATGGGAAAAAGACTTCATAACATAAATTCAATGGCAAAGAAAAGAGACTTAAAGTTTTTACATTGAATACATCAAAAACACTAAAACAAAATAAAAAAGCAGACAAAAATCTGGGATAAAACACTTCTAACAATACATGGAGAAAACAGTTAGATGCTTAATATACAAAGAATTCTTGTAAGTCAATAAGGAGAACATTCATCTCTCACTCACATTAGGAGGAAAGGAATACATAGATAAGCTGTAGCACCATATCAGCTAACAAGAATGTGAAAATGTTCAGCCTCACAAGCAATCAAAGAAACAAATTATAATAATGAGGAAAGATGTTTTCATCTCTTAAGATTTCGCTAAAATTCTATATAAGTGATATTATGGTTGATGCGGGTGTAGAGAAACTGACTCTTTTTACACTGCTAGTGGTTATAAGAAATTTAGAAAGTAACCCTTCAGTAAAAGAGCCTTAAAAATGTTTACATGCTCCCATAGTAAACCCACTTCAAGCAATCTATCATAAAGAAATATCAAGGGGTTCATTACAATGTTATTTATAATAGTGAAAAACTGGAAATAAAGTCCAACATGAGGGTAAACAAAGTACATGGTCCTAGTGTGTAAGATAAAACCATTTAAAAAATAATGTTTCAAAGAAAACTGACTTAAGTGGGGAAATGTTCATTGTAAATTGAAGAAGATAAAACCATGGGTAGTGTGATAAAACTCTGTAAAGTATCATATAAATTATTTACACACATTTGTTATCTATATGCCCATACAAAAAGTTGAAAAGAAATATACTACTATTTTAATAGTGGTTATATGAGGTGGTAACATTGTAGGTAATTTAATTTCTCTTTATACTTATACCTAGTACTAAGCCAGGTACTAAGGATATAGAATTGATCAAAACACAATACCTGCTCTCAAAGTGGGAAGCAGTTCAGCAAGGTACGAGTTTTTGAAGTTAGGTTTAGATTTGCGTTCTAAGCCATTATTTACCAGCTATTTAATTCTACAAAAGTCATTTTCTGTAAAAATGGGGACTTCACACATTTAATACCATTTCAATAAACTCGATTTCAACAAATATTGACCTATGTTCTCTGCTAGATCCTGGGGATATAGCAGACTTCATGAAACTCATACTTTTATGGGGACTGTAGGCACTTAGTAAGTAATTTAAATATAAAGGACATTTAAAAATGACAAGTTGTGGGTGCTATAGAATATACAAAAGGGTGACAATCGAGTCTAGAAGGTCAGAAAAGCCTCTTTGAGGAAGTCATGCTGACTCTGAGAATTGAAGAAGTAGAAGTAAACTAAACAAAATGATATAGGCATTCCTTTGTAAGGGAAGAATACATTTCAAGTCATGGAGTTCAGAGGTAAAAGAAGTCCAATATGACTGCCAGGTAGCGAGGAGAGAAGAGTGACAAAAGGTGGAACTACCAGAATGCCTGGCAAGAATTAGGTTGTGGAGAGCTTTGTAAAACCTACACAAAGTCAGAATTTCCTAAGGGTAGCGAGGGGTCACTCAAGAGTTAACTGACTTATCTAAGATCACACAGTTTAATAAGTGATGAAGCCTTAATTTAAACTTCAGAAAATTTGACTCCAAAGCTCATACCAATCACAGAATATATGAGTATATTTAAAAATGCCTACAACAGAGCTTGTCACCAAAATGAACTGATTAAAGAACAGATACTATTATACACTTTAATATTATATAATTCTTTAAGACAAAGAAAAGCAAAAGTAAAGAAGGAGAAGAGACAATAATGCGAGATAGCTAAGTACTAATAGGATTTGTGAATTGATTGGACATGAGGGTGGCAAGGCAGATGGAGAAGTCTAAAATTACTTTAGATGGGTGAAATGTTCATATTTGCTTCTCAGAAAGAAGGAAAGAAAAATACAGCTTTAACATTCAAATACATACAAAGGCCAGGAATACAGAATTTGAGATTTTCTTCTCATAGCTTGTCTAACTTTGGTTCTACATTTCTGAGTTTTCAGGTTACAATGCATACACATAGTTAAACACAGACTACAGAACTGAAAACTTATGAATTTAAAAATAAATGCTATTAAAATCAGTTGCTAGCATTTCAAAAAATAATAAATGTACTTTTAGAGGGCTACCTGGGTTTTAAACATTTGCATAACTTTTTATTTTTTAGATAAAACCGTCTGTAGATGCAAAAATGAAACTAGAGATAAATAAGGATAAATTATGATACTTTTTTTCCCTATCAAACTTTCTGTTTAAAGTTTGTTTCTGGTAAACAGGCAAAAATGAAACATAAAATTCCTCCTAAAGTAGGTTTTTAGGTTTAATGCTAACTAGAAACAAAGCAAAAATTGCAAATAAAGGCACATATAAGTAAAAGCCTTCGAGAACTAGTAAATTAATCCTTACATGTGTGTTCCAATTTCCTTTACTTCATGGTGTATGACATCATCAATACAACAGTCGGGTTTAAGTTCAGCCACTGCAGCATTGGAGGCTGAAAGGTTTAAACGCTGAGAGCTTGTCTGAAGATCAGCCTTGAAAGAAAGCGGTAAGAAAAATCCAAATGAGACTGGTTACCTACACAGTGTGGATGGTTATGGGTGGAAAGAATAGGGGAATAGGAACAAAGAAGTAGGATGAAGGAGGAGCAACATTTCCGTGTATAAATCTTTCTGTATAGCTCTGATGCTTAGAACTACGGTAATGGCTTCACACACATGCACATCAAAAATAAATAAAAACAACTAAGTAATAGGGGGAATCCAAAACTAAACACATAAGGCTCACACTGCTATAGAGGGTGTTCTTGACCTAGGGATATCAAAAGACCCCAAACTGCAATTCACAGAATGCAAAGCCACCAAAGTCTTCATCAAAATACCATAAAAAAGAAAAACCACTAACGAGAATTTAAGCGATTCACTGATAAATATTGCTACCCATAACCAACTGTGAAACAGAAAAAAACTGTAATGTAATACTCAAATGGAATTAAATACCCTCAAGAAAACATTAGGAGATATGGAAAAAACACTTTGAATGAGAAGTTTCAAAACCATGGCGAAAATTTAAAAAATATTTTAAAAAGTTAATTGAACTCAAAAAGATAAAGATCATATCAGAAACAAAGACTAAATTATAAGGCGTTCCCAAAAAGATAGATTTGAATGAAAATTTAATAAGGGGCACTAGAGAAAAGGAGGCAAAGAACAACAACCAGTTTTACATATAGAGTTTGTAAAATGATAATGAAAACTTTTTGGAAATAAATGATCTGAATCTATAAATTGAAAGTGTCTACCTGGTATTGGGGAAATCACATCCAAGACCAACTCTGTAACTTTTAGAAAAAAAAACCCAGGGCTTCCAGAAAAAATTATCAAATAACTTACAAGACAAGAAAATTAGACTGGCATCAGTCCTCTCAAAAAATAACATATATAGCTAGGTAACAAAGGAGTAGCATTTTCAGAAAACATAAAGAAAGTAAATGTAAACAAAGGATTTTAGCATTTTCAGGAAATATAAGCAAAGAAAATATAAATAAAAGATTTCATATCTAGCCAAACTGTTCTTCATACATGGAAAAACATTTTTAAACATGCAAAGACTCAGGATATTGTATCCACAAGTGTGTCCTGAGCCATCTACTTGAGAAATCTCCATCCAACTAATATGCAAATTAAAAAAATAGGAAGATGTGAGATAGAAAAAGGAAAGTGGTATAAGCAATAGGTAGAAATAAAAGGATGCTATTAAAGACTCAAAACTCTATAGTAAGCAGCTAAGTAAGAAAACAGGGAAAGGGGGGAGGCATTATAAAAGGGGTAAATACAAAAGGTGAGAACTAGAACAAAAATACAAACCTTCCTAACCACCAAAAAAACATTTAAAAAATGAGCAATGAAACATATTGTGTAGACAAAAAAACATAGCAGAAATAACATAATATACCCAATATTTAAATATTAAATGATGTGACATAGTTGAAACCACGCATATCAAACTTATCAATATATGTGAATGAACTTAATTCACCTATGAAAATATTTCAATTTGGCTCACAAAGCAAGAACTAATCATATGTCGTATAGAAGGAAGACATGAAGACAAAATGATTCAGAAAGGCAAAAATAAAGAGATGCGCAAAAGCATACCAGGCAAATAGAAACAGTAAGAAAACAGAATTAGTAATACTGGTACCACTACTATGATTTAAGGAAAAAAGGATTTAATGTAGCAAAGGAGGGCATTTTATTGCTAAAAGCCACAATTCATACTGGAAAATAACAAGTATAAATATGTACACACCAAACAGCACAGACTTTATAAAGCAAACAGTGTAAAATAGAAACACACTTATAAAGATTAGCATGTCTCACTCAGTCACCCAGTATAAGACAGATCAAGTTAATAATAATAATAATAATAAAAAAGATATAAAAGATCTAATATCACAATCAATAGGGTAAATATTATGGAACTCCAGCTTTACAGCTAATAATAGAAAATATACTTTCTTCTCAATTACACATGGAATATTCATTGAAAATTAATATAAGGAAACAGAAAACATTTGTGAGTTCCATAAATAGAAATATTACAAGAATATTGTAATTACAAGACAATAAAACTACAAATTATTAATAAGAAAAAAAGGCCTTTCTATCTGAAAAACCTTCTATTAAACAACTCTTGAGTAGAAGGAGAAATACAAAGGAAATTACAGAATTCTTTAAAAAGTGATCGCAATGTAGGATATACCTAAAGCAGTGAATCAGAAGAAAATCCTTTTTTTTTTTTTTTAAAGATTTTTATTGGGGAATTGGGGGGATGGGAACAGCACTGGGGAACTGGGGGAAGGGGAACTGAGAAGTTGCTGTCACTTTTTTTTTTGTTCTTCAGTCTAGTTGTGGAGGATGTCGCCCCACTGGCCCAAGTTCGCACCATCATTGCGCTCTTCCCAGGAGAGGCACATCAGTCGCCGGCTTCTGGACGGCCGTTCACTGCGGCTGCTGGCCGCTCACGCTGGCTGCTGGCTACACACGGTAGCCCATGGCAACCCACTGCCACAGGGGCTGCAGCCTACGCCGTCGCCTCATGGCAGCCCAGCTCCAGGTTGAGCTGTTGTTCAGCATCTTAGCTGTAGAGGGCAGTGTCACTGGCCCTCATATGTGGGATCCGAACCGGGGCCCTCTGGCGTCCCAAGCCAGTTCTTAACCATCGTGCCACTCGGCCAGCCCTGTCGTTCAGCATCTTAGCTGTAGAGGGCAGTGTCACTGGCCCTCATATGTGGGATCCGAACCGGGGCCCTCTGGCGTCCCAAGCCAACTCCTAACCATCGCGCCACTTGGCCGGCCCGAAAATTCATTTTTATCAATAGAAATAAAATAAACAAATTAAATCCCCAGCTAAAAAAGCTAAAAAAGAAAAGCTAAAAAATCAGAAGCACAAGAGATAATTAAAAGCCAAAATTAATGACATATAGAATAGAAATACATTAGATATAAAGTAATAAAAGTTGTTTTTTTTTTTTTAAAAAAAACAATATGCAAACCAATAGCTAGTTAACTTAATCAAAAAGAAAGCAAAAATATGCGAAATACGAAAGGCCTGGGGGGAAATAATACTGAAACAGAAGTAATTTTAAGAGACTACTCTGTAGACCTGTATGTGAATAAATTTGAACATCTACATATAGTGGATCATTTTCTAGAATAAAACAGTTAAACAAAATTTACATTACAGACAGAAAACAGACTAATTTCCATAGGAAAAAAGTGAAAATGCTATCAAGTAACTTTCCCCACAAACAGCACCAGCCCATATGATTTCACAGAATTCTACAAGCCCTTCAAGGACCAGATAGTCTAAATGCTCCATATATTATTCCAAAGCACTGGAAATGAAGGGAAATTTCCTAAATCTTTTATTAAGCAACCATAGTATTGACAGTTAAAACTTGATAAACATGAAAAAGAAAAAATATAGACCATTATCATTCCATGCTTCTTATACTGTGTTGTGATTTTGATGTAAAAAATACAGATCTTAAGACCTATGTCGTCTTGTACTCCTGAGAGCCTGCGTAAGGTGCTGTCTATGGATTTCCCTTTTGAGGTAGATGGGCTTCTCTTCTACCACAAGCAGACTCACTATAGCCCCGGAAGCACTCCTCTGGTGGGCTGGCTGCGCCCGTACATGGTGTCCGATGTCCTTGGCATAGCCGTGCCGCTTGGTCCGCTGACCACCAAGCCAGAATATGGCAGGAGATCCAGCTGCAGCAGATTATTGAGCACAAGAGGAACCAGAAAGAGGGTGCGAAAGAGCAGCTGGCCCACAAGGCCTCTGACAGCAGCTGTTATGAGCTGGAGCACCTATCTACCCACAAGCTCAAGGGTGCGCCCCACAGCCTGGATTGCCCCGGGAACCTGATGGAGAACTAACTGCAGCCCCCTTTGGGAGTCACAGGATGGTGCTTAGTTCCAGAAGGAAGACTGGAGAGAAGGACAGTGATGACAATAGGTGACTTCATTTTACAGTGGACTTTCCAAAGCCACTCCAGTTGGAAACAGCTTATATCCTGTCTGAAATGCTGGCTCAAACAGTTGGGGGAGGTTCCCAGATTAGTAGGTCTTCGGATTTGAGCAACCCCTGTAAAAATGTATCCCAGATCCACAATGCAAATATATATGATTCTTAAGAAAAAAAGACAAAAGAAAAAAAAAAAAAGACCTATGTCGTCTCAAGTGAATCTGATGTACAAAACGGCTGTGTGTACATCATGAATCAGAATATTTATTTGAGACTAAGAAAGTTCTTGTTGGTGGGCCGGCCGAGTGGCACGATGGTTAAGAACTGCCTTGGGACGCCAGAGGGCCCCGGTTCGGATCCCACATATGAGGGCCAGTGACACTGCCCTCTACAGCTAAGATGCTGAACAACAGCTCAACCTGGAGCTGGGCTGCCGTGAGTCGTCGGTGACGGCGTAGGCTGCAGTCCCTGTGGTAGTGGGTTGCCATGGGCTACTGTGTGTAGCCAGCAGCCAGCGTGAGCGGCCAGCAGCCGCAGTGAGCGGCCGTCCAGAAGCCGGCAACTGATCTGCCTCGCCCGGGAAGAGCGCAATGATGGTGCCAACTTGGGCCAGTGAAGCAACGTCTTCCACAACTAGACTGAAGAACAAAACAACAGCAACTTGTCTGTTCCCATCCCCCCAATTCCCTAACAAAAATCTTAAAAAAAAAAAAAAAAAAGAAGACTCTTGGTGGGCACTGCACTGCTCAATAAACATTAGTTATTGTTGTTATTACTTCAAACACCACTGACTTTATAGAAATTAAAACTAAATAAAGCCAACAGAAATATACATTCATATTTTGTAAGTACACTATTGTATTATTTGCTCTTTGTAATATTGAATTAAATTATATGCCTTTGCTGATTCAGCTTATAAAAATAAATTCAACATTTACTGAATGACAATTGTATGCCAGGAAAAAAGTATACATTCTCAAAGTTCTGAAGGTCTCTCAAAGGTCTGTAAAGTCAGACCTTTTCATAATCTCATGCAGAGGTTGGCAAACTTTAAATGGTCAGACAGCAAGTACTTTAGACTCCACAGGTCATACAGTCTCTGTCGCAACTACCCAACTCTGCTGTTGTAACTTGTATCTGCCACACATAGCACATAAATGAATAAATGTGGCTGTCCATCAATAAATATTTATGGATACTGAAATCTGAATTTCATATAATTTCAACACCACAAAATAAGCTTTTGTTTCTTTACAATCATTTGAAAATGTAAAAAACGTTTTTAGCTCAAAGGTCTTATAAAAAGAGGCAATGGACCAAATTTGGCCCACAGGCTGTCGTTTGCCAACGCCTGATCTACTGAAAGGCAGAAACCTCATCAATAGTATGACAAACATATATACATGTATGCAAAAAATTGCATACAGTTTTTGGAAGCTGGATCATATATAAAATTTGGAACAGTTACTCTCTGAGGTCCTTTTCAACTCTAATATTACACTTGCTCATCATTTTCAAATTCATTCTAATTGGACTTCCCTTTTGGCAATGCTCCAGGGACCCAAACACACCACCTGAAGACAGCTTTGACAACAGCTGGTCAACTACATACAGTGAAGTCTTACTTTCTTTATGTCCTTTGTCTTTGTGAATAAATTTCAGGTTGTTGAATTGAGTTAGCATATTCTCTCTTAACTTCTAAACAACTGCAAAAATCTAACTGGTCTATTTTCTATAAACCATTCCGTACAATGTTTTCATATCAGTCTTCCAACACAGTGTGAATACCTCTGCTCAAAAGTTTCCACGGAATGCCCATTGTCTTTTAAAAAAAAGGGCTAGAACCTTAGCCTCAGCCTGGCTTTCAAAATGCTCCACTGTATGGCTATTACACATGTCTACAATCTTCCCTACTCTTATCAAGTGAATTTTGTTCACTGCTACAAAAATACATTATGTATTTCTACGTCTCTACTTCCGATTACCACGTCCCTTGTCTTTTTCTCTGAATCCTACCATTCTTTCAAGATCCTCTTGTGTTCCCTCTCCTCCAATAAACCTTCTTGACTGATGCAATCCCATGATCTCTCCTCCTCTTTCAAATCCTGTTGTTAATCACAAATTATTAACAAAAACATTCTGTTATTTACCTTGGGTCGCTTTCTCATCCAACAAACTTTGGGGATAACAAAAAATGATACTGGCTCAACATTATATCCTATAGCATATTCAGTATATATATTCAGTAGGTGTTCAATTATTGTTTGTTGTTAATGACAAAAGACTTGTATCAAACATGAATTTAATTAAGTTTCAAAAACATAGGAATAGAAATTTAAAAGTTTTATATTTTTAAAAAATATATCCCAAACAAGAATGCTACTCACTTTTACCAATATATCTTTTACAACTTGATTGCTATCATTGTGAACGCTGATATAACTGGAAAAGGTCTCTCCCAAAAAAATGTTCCTGTGAAATAAAATACATTTTTAGGCAGAAATCTATTCAAGTTTTATCACACATATTCTATTTGAGCACCACTGAGAACATCAAATGAAGAAAAATTTATTAAAGGATAGAGATCAGGTAAAATACTGCTTCAATATTCCTTGTTTATACTAAGCTGATCATTTATTACCTAGTGCAATTCAAAGTATTGACCTACTCTATAAAATATGACATATCAATATATCTTGGTTTTCAATACTACACAAACTGCTAGTCTCCTGAGAAATAATTCATAGTGGAGTCATGGGCTTCTACCTCATTAATCTAGAAGAAGAGAATAGCTAAGAGCAAGAGAAGGAATAAAAAATTTAGAGGTCCTAATTAGCTGACAAATCTGATAACTTATGCTGGGAGAGGGCTGTGAAGTTGAATAAAGAACTACTTCTGAAAGACATTTAGATTAATTCAGTTAAAAAAAAATTCATGGACATTAAGAAATATAAGATCAAAATAAATTTAAAATAGTATCACCCTGGGAACCACTACTAAAATTTGGTATGTATCTTATTTTTCTCAACCATATCCATCTTATGGTTTTTTAAAAACCAGAATCACATAGTATAATTTTGGTAAAATTATTTTTACCACTTAAATGTCCCACGAGCATTTTTCCAGCTCACAACTATTTTTTGAAAACTAGATTTGTAATGGCTTTAAAATATTGTTGCATTTCTTATGTGACTACATCATTCTTACCCAAAATTCTGTGGTAAAGTCAACATTTCTCCCAACATTAAAATTTCTGCACCATTTACAGTTGAAGGATCATCTCTCATGAGTTGGTTAAAGAGGTCTCCTGCAGAAAGAGAAAAACATAAAATTCTAACTTCTACCTTATAAATAAGTTTTACTTACATAAAGAAATAGTTGGGAAAAATATTTTTTATAATCTCTTGACAAAAATTATATTTAAAAAATCTAATTTCTAATCTTCAATACAATGAATGCATGCCAAAAAATTCTGTTTCAATCAAGAATGAACACTTTAGAAACAAAGGGAAATATGTAATATATATTATATAAATTTCCATTAAGTTTAAATAAAGGGAATGCTAATACATTGATGGAACATTTGAAGATAAACATAATTTCAATAGTACCATGACTATGAATGTATTGATACTAAATACAAATATCTTGTTGCCATGGGATATCAATAGTATCTTGACTTACAGATTATGAGTGAAATCTGTTACTCAGATAACCACCACTCACATGGTACAAACACAGGCAACAAAGAATGCAGCAGAGTTAGCATAAGATTGGCAAGGACTAGTTTTATTTCAAGGTAATAGAGGCAATCCAGTTTCAACTTTTCCCTAGGTACAATAAGAATAATGCATATGTCATACCAGGTAAGTCTTTTTCTTCACATGTTACTGGAATATTGGTGAATAAAGTAGGCTTGGTTAACCGCATCACTGTGAATTAAGTTAAGAAAAAAACAACAACAAGAAAATATTAATATTGCTTTGGGCTAGTACTCCAAAGTCAAATGTATGTTACTCATCAATTTCACACTAATATAAACTATAACTAAATACTTCCTAAAGATAATGCTAAATACTTCCTAAGATTACTATATAGCAATGATTTACTAAAAACATTAATATAAGAAAAAATTTATGAAAAAAAAGAACAATTTTGCTTTTATTTACAACTTGATTGTAAAAATGAAATGTAAATGTAATACACCTCATTATAGAGAAACTGGAAAATAAAGGAATTCTAAAGCTTAAGGTATGTTAGGAGAAAAAGGCTTTAAAAAAATCTTGAGTGACTTCACTGTAAACAATATCAACAAAATATTAATTAAAATCAGCCTGACAGGGAAAAACTTTTAGATGCACCATTATGAACATGAAACAATAATTTTATGCCAAAAAGATCTTTGTGAGCTTTGTCCCTTGGTTAGAATCACAGGCAACTGAAGTTCAGTAAGTGGCCCTTTAAGTAATAATTCTGTGTAGAAGTTACAAAAATATGTTAATGTATATAGATTTTTAAAATTCCAACCAAAACTATGATTTGTTCTCAGGACATGACAGAATGTGTCTAAAGTTTATCTAGAAAAAGAAATAAATGAAAATAGAAAATTCATGGGGAAAAAAAATGAGAAAGAAGTGGACTTACAATATATTAAAATTAAGTCCATAACCTACTATTGGCAAGATCATAGAGATATATGTATTAGATAGTTTTTTAAAAAAAGATTAGGCTACAGCAAAATAAATCAACATTATAAGGTGCTAGGACAACTAGTTAGCTGAGAAAAATAAAATTTAATTTACAAATTCATTTCAAATATCAAATAAATTACATATGTATCAAATAGACAAGAAAAATTAAGCCACAGAAAACTAGAAAACATGAAGTATTTATTAAATCTAGTCTAGCAAGGATAGGACATTATAATTTTTTAAAAACATCTTTTTCAATTATATCTAGATTGACATTTGACCATGTCAAAATGAAAACAAAAATATAAAATTAAGTCATATAAACATATTTCAGAAAATGAATCAGATTATTTTTTTATACTCTATTAAAAATGTTCATTCAAATCAAAACCAAAAAACTTCATAGACTATAGGCATAAATGGTCAATTCACAATGTAAGTGGTGTTATTCACACATGTACTACCTAATCATGAATTAACTATACCATACATATCAAATTTAGTGCCTTTGTCATCCATGTCTCAGCTTAAATGATATCTTTTTTCAGAAAAGAAGTAACACGTCACCTTGTTTCTCTCATTGCCCCTTGTATTTATCATGAACTGTATTTATTTACTTGTTTATAGCATTTCTACTTAAACTCCATGAGGTTTAGGTTCCCATGTATCATGTTCAGTTTTGTGGCCTCCTCATTTGACACAGGTTCTGGCACACAGTATATTCTATAGATCTTTGCTAAATTAAAGCAGTAACACCTCACCAAAGTCCTCAAGTAACTTGGAATTATTTTGAAGATGTAAGTTTGAACTGAGACCATTAAACAATGTTGTATTGAAAAGATGGCTCCTGAAATAGTCAACAAATGCTAACCTTAAAATTTCTGAAGTTGCTTGTGTAATTGGTATTTACTGAGCATTTACTAGTGCCAGACACTATGCTACTTTACAAATATTAACACATTTCATTCTTAGAATTACTCTACAAGGTTGGTATTATCATTATCCCTTTTACAAATAAGGGAATACCTGGAGAAGTTAACTTGCATATAAAAGATTACACAGCACATAGGTGGCAGAGCAAAATTTGAACCTGGGTGATTTCTTTCACTCTGTTTCAAAGTAATTCTTACATTATTAATTATAAGTCGGGGGTCATGAACCTGGAATTCCATGCCTTATCAGAAAAGATCCATGGGAATTCAAAATAGGACATGATCATAAACACAGCATTAACCAGCTACAGACTTGAGGAAGGGGGTTAGGGAGGTGTTTCTGACATTCTACTTCACTTTTATTTCTAAGAAGGAAAATATTAAGTAAAATCTAAAATGGATGAAAAGGTGCTCTGAAAATAATATACAGGAGGAGATAGTTTTTCTCACAATCTAAATATCTAAGACTCTAAGCTCACTATTAATGCCAATTAATGTTTTCGGTTTCTTCCTGATTTTTTTTTCATTTCAGAAGAAACCAAATCTTAACAAATAAAGAGGAAACACACTCTTAAAGTAATCCTGAAACACTTTTTTTTAAAGTCCTCGAGTTTACCCAAATGTGTAGCCAATTTATTTGCTTACTATATGCTTAGTTTTTGCTGAATCTACGGGTTTTTCCCTAGGAGATGAGGGACAGTAGGGAGTGGGTAAAGAACAACCCTCCACTAAAAGTAAAAAGATCCCATTTCATAAGTTATAAAATGTCTAATCACTATGCTGTGCACCTGAAACTAATATAATGTCAACAATAATTGAAAAATAAAGATTAAAAAATGAAAATAAAAAGATCCCAAACTGGCATTAAAAGTATCAATTTTCTTCATATTTTCAAGAGGGTAAAAGTCAGCAAAGGGGGTAGCAGTTGTAAGAAATACTATCACACTATGGACTCAAAGAAAATTACTATAAAGCACAATTTGTCATACAGCAGCTTCTTAAACAGAAACTGAGAAAGCCAAGTTATTAACATACACTGTCTCATTCCTTGAAGGACAATCCAAAGTATGACCATATTAAATACAGACTTAAACTCAATATTTACTGTCTCATAATGAATTATTGGTCCTCAAAAATTAAACACAATGTCAGTTGGAAAAAGAGCAAATACCAACTAAAGAAAGGTTAAAAAAAACTGGCAGGAACTATAATAAAGCACTGGTTGTTAATTTTGTATCCAGCCTTGAATGATAATGCAGATATTTGGTCAAAAATTAAAGAGGCAAAAAGAAAGTGATTTTTAGTTCAGTGCCAAATATTCACTACACACATCATATAGTGCCATGTGTAGACAGACTTTCAGTGAAACTCACAAAACAGACATGTCATTTACTTAATGAAATTCAGGTTTTATTTAAAATCTTATTAAAAAACTTTCATAAGTCTTCAGTAAAATTAAGAAAAAGATAGGACTGAGTTTACAAATTAATGAACTGGGCCTAGTTCAACTTGCACATACATTTTTCTTGGCACATTAAAAAAAAATTAGGTAGAATCTTCTTTAGGTTCAGAGTTCTTAACCACATTCTAGTCTTACCTGGTTAGTCCCTGAAGGCATTCAAATTTGCAAATCTTGAATTAATTTGGGGTATTTTGAGCAGATTAAATCAAAGTGAATCATTGTATAGGAGCTCATCTTGAAAATTTTCAAAAAGTGGTCTTTAAGTTATTTGATAAGTTGGCAAATGAAATTAAATTCATGTGATGCCCTCCACATCTTTTTTCTTTGAATTTGACATTTATTTGAAGGTAGATACTATGTCAGGGAAAAATTAAATTATGGTAGTGTTGCCATTTTCCTGGAGAGTAAATGCTAACAGTATTTTACCAAATGCCCTCACAGATTCACCTGCCTGTACACATTTTTGTTTCCCCAATTTATTTCCATGTCTATGATTTAACAGAACCCAGAAATACTGCTGAGTCCTATTAGCTAGTGCTAGAATCATGGGTCCTAAGGTTCTAAATACTCTAAAAGGATTCAATAAACTAACTGTGGATTCTAAATTCTTAGGCCTTGACTACTTAAATGCTGTCTAGGTAGAAGAGAAATGAATGTCTTCTGAGATCATGGAAATATCTGCAATATTTCTTCAGTTTCCTAGTTCTGAATTACCTTTTCATTGTTTCTCAAATGGTTAGAAAGCAAATTACATAGAATAAATTAGAAAAATTTAATCTACCACATATGAAGACAAAGAAGCTCTTTTTAATAGATTCTTGGATTAAAAAACTATTCATAAGAATCCCATTACCCGACTGTACCTTGTATTTTCAGCTGTGTACAATCATTTCAAAATAATAAAACTATCATTAAAAAAGACTGTGTTCTGTTTTACATAAGTGACAGTCTTAACTTTTAACCTTTGATTAGCAACTTTACAGTAAATAAGACCTGAACAATAAAAATCAAATGTCACCATTTATTATTCCCTAATCATATTAATCAGCTCTTATTTGCAAGCTCGCTGGCAATACTGAGTAATTCTTGATGTTTCTCCAGCAGTCTTGGATTGAAAAGATGATTAATGAATGAAAGAGGAAGTAATTACTGAAGAAATTACCTTGGAAACTTCCTCTATACTCGGTGATTTTTCTTTTAAAGACTTTTGGAAGCATTCATGCACATGATGGTTCTTTTCTAGACAGTCTCATTTGAGACAATAAAATGGTACCAAAAGTGTTTTTAAAAAAGTTTGGGTAGAGTAAAACTTAATTGGAAAAAATCTCTTTAGTTAAAAATTAGTACTTGGATTTTAAGCAACCTCAGCTTATGAAGAATACCTCCAAAGGACACATTTACCATGTATTATGTAGCCCCTACCATGCCAGGCACTATGCCACAAGCAAACTCGTTTGCCTACCAATGAGTACAGTCTTATTAGTTTTTTTCAGGATTTAGTTTTACTACTTAACAGTAGTAACTCCATGTAAGCTCTGTGAGAGCAGGGTTCATGTTTGTCTCCTTCCTCACTACATTCTAGTACCTAGTAGCTCATGGTAGGCATTTAAACTTGTTAAATAAATACATGCTTTTATAAAACTTTTATTCTATAATCACTTTGGTTATTTTTATGAGGTGATGTGTAAACACAATTTATAACACTTTGGTTATGACAAACCAACAATGACTCCAAGAACCAACCAACTAGTAATCAGCATTAATGGTCATTAAGATTCTCCTGTATTAGAATAAATAACGAATAATTTCATCGCTTATCACATTTGATACATCACTTTAAAACAGGTTATATAGCCTTAGATACACTACGGTCTTAGGCAAATTATACTTTTTTTTTTACCTTTGTTTCAAAACAACACATCAACTATTGTCAATTACATATCTTCGGAAACATCAGCAGAATCTGGGCTCGTCTTCCAATTTGAACTACATTCATGCCACTTGAATAGCTTTCCCAATAGAATTGGTTTTAATTTTATTTTTTTAAAAAATACTATACTTTAGGTGAGTAAAGAAAAAAATACTGTAAAATTATATTTTAAGGATTCACCCAAATCCGAACTATTCACTATAATTCATAGGGAGATCTAATTCAACCACTGGAAAAGTAACAGAACAAAAAGAATAGAAAATTCATTCTGCTAAAAGTAAGATCCAGAAAGTTCTTGACTTAAATGACAAGACCAGGAATTCACCTGATATTTATTTCTGGGATACAAATTGTACACATATTACCACATAATTATTTTTCACAATGTTAAGAATAAATAGGCTATATTAGCAAAGGTTCAAAAAAATTAAGACATTAAAAATAAAAAATATTCATTTCACTATTATATTTCAGGTCATACTGTTCATTCAGAATATTCTTTTTTTTTTTTTACAATCAGTGGAATTCATTACATACTAAAAATAACACCATATTTATGCACAAATAAATTCATTTTCCCAGTAAGAGCTAATCTTCCTTTAAGGAGATTTCCCACATATTCACAGTACCTAATATCACAGAACACCCATATTTGGCCTAAATGTCTCTGAATTGTAGCATTACAAGATGGAAGTTCATTGTGTCTGATAATCCGATTGAGTTTTGCCCAAATATCTTCCAGAGTTTGGTTGTTACAAATAGTGTGTTCTATTGTCCATCTTGCTCTATAAAAGGAATGTATATTTAATGCCTTTAATCTATCTTGCAATTTTTCAGACAAAGGAAAAATGTTTTCAGTACAATTACTGCTGGGAAGTGAAACACTCCAAGACCTCTTCTTTTGCCATATTCCTTTTTCTGATTGTTTATCCATATTTCTAGAATTAGTCTGTTCATCCAGTGTGTGTGACCGGATTAAGTGCTCCTTTTCTTTGAAATTAGGTTGAAACTCTAGTAAATCTACTGTGCAATCATAACTCTGTAATGTAACATCATGTTCTGAAATAGTTAAGTACTGTTTCACATCTTCAGCAGCCTCTTCAGAAATCACAGGTGGTGACCTTTTAGGTTTGAGTGGAAGTTTGGACCCATCATGTGGAAACCAAGGAATAAATCTTGATAGTGGACGTGTAGGAAAGTCTTGAATTGCTTTCTCTGCAATTTTTAGCAGTTCTGTGGGATCACTCTCATATTGTCGATAATGTAATATTACTTCTGTAGTCATTCTGCAGTAATCCAGTTACTCTTACATGGAGAGAAAATTTCTTAGCTGAGCTCCTCAGTGCTAGAATGTAATTTATAATTATAAGACTGTCTCTCTTTCCATATCAGAGGGAAACAGGACCTAAAGTGGAAGTATTGCAGAGAATAAGATATGGTACGGATAGTCTACATACCAATAGGCAGGGAGAAAAAGGAAAAACAAAAACCAATCCCAATATGCTGTTTTACCAAAGTGCTAGTGGTAAAAGTGAATATAATCCACAAAATTGAAAATCCTTTCTCTCACCAAAATAAGTGATCTGGATTAGATGCCCTGTAAAATCACTTCCAGCCTAAAAATGCTAGTAGTCAACATGTTTAACTCAACAGATATAAAAAATTTGGATGTAACGATATTCATATATTAGATAATAATAATCTTAAGACTATACCAGAAACAAAGAGCAAATTAGTGATTCTTAAAATACTGGATTTATATAAAGATAATAATACTTAAAATTTGAAGACATCCCAGTAGGAAACACTAAAAACATGAAAATGGTTTAACTTTGCATTAAGGCTAAGGACTGGTTTTGTGACAGTCTCCTCTGTATAACTGGGGCACTTAAGCAGTTTCAAGACCTTAGTACCGTGGCTTTTGAATTCCAATTTGGAAGAGGAACAAGAAGGCTACAACCCTTATTTCTTTTCCTCTTAAAACACTGAAGTCTTAAAGTTGCCCCAAATTAAGTCATTGATAATAAGTTTCAGCATACAGTATACAGGTTAAGAATGGAGCCTTTCAGGATCTGCAAGTTAGGCTTCCTAACCAGGTCCAAGGCTGCAAGAGCTATAATGCAGGTTGTTTCATATCCTTACTGTAGACAAAAAGAGATTGCATCCCTTCTCCCCCAAATCACTAGAGAACTACTTGACGAGGGTTCTCCCATTGCAAGGATAACAGTGGAGGGGAGTCCTGGCATGATGTCACAATACTCATTTGAGCACTGATTCTGAAGAGTTAAAAGAAGTAATCTCATGATTTTTTTTCACCTACTGTTAATGTCCACTAACAGATTTGACAACTCTAAATTCATAAATGAATGGGATCCTTAATATGCATAACTTTTAATATAGATCTAAATATATAGTATATTCTTTCAAGAATTAATGCTGTAATTTTCTTCCCTCTTCCTTACACTTTCACATCATAAGATATGGCATTGAGAATTCTTTCACTGTTGTCTGAACTTATTCAGTGTTGTACTCCAGGGATACTGAAGTTGAGAGAGTTCATTAATATTTTACATATCTAAGAAAGTTAAATGACCATATAAATTTTGGCATCTAACATCAGTAAAATTAAAACTTGTGAAATTTTGATTAACGAGGACATTGGAGAAGAATAATACCAAATAACTTTAATAAAGTTAAAGCTATCAGTGAATTTCAAAGCACTTGTCCTTTAGACTGTTAAAATATGCTTTCCCAAGGTATCTTCTGCTTTGGAAAATAAAGAATAGAAAAGTAAAAATTCGTAATGGCAGTAAGCCTCTATATCACTGAAGTTTAACTGAGTTTAACAGCTTCCAATTTGTATAAAACATCAAGCAGTTAATAGAAATACATTGTATTTCAAATTCCCATCAAAGTAGTCATAAGGGAAGGATCTCTAAAAATGCTGTTTCTTTCATTAGGAGGCAACATGGAGTCTTGGAGAGATCGAGAAAGGCCTTGTGCTGAAATATTGCCTCAATCATTTATTAATTAGCTTGGTGATCTTGGAAACATTTGTTAACTTCTGAGAGTTAAGTCACATCTATTCCACATACTTGATGTGAGATTGAAAGATCAAGAACATGATAGTTCCTTTTATTCTTTTTCTCCAGGAAGGAACCATTTCAGTCCAGCTCATTTGCTCAAACTAAGCTTACAGGTTCTACTGCTACATTACCTAATATTGCAGTTTCTTAATTCTACAGAGACGGTCCTGTTAACCCTAACTAACAGTATACGATTTTATGTTACAAATGGGACTGCTGAGCTTCTGGAACGTTACTTGCCTAACATCATAACTAAGGTGGTGGTGGTAGTAAGTGGGTAAGGTCCCTCAAAATGGATACCATAAGAAAGAGTGCAATTCAATTGAATCCAAATGTCTACTGAGCATTTTCTCAGCTTAGCCCAAGAAGGTATTGGTAACCACATCGTACAGCATCCAAAAAATCAAAAGTGCATCTGTGGTATAGAAAACAGATGAAATAAAGCTGAAAGCATTTCAAATAAAAGTTTTACAGAAAACAACAGGAATTCCAGAAAAACTCTGCCGTTTTTTAATGATCTAAATAAATCATCGAACTTACTCAAAATTGTTTGCTGTGTACAGAAAATGAAAGTTGACATGAATTTTTCCATATACACAATATTTTGAAGTAAACTACAGTAAATTTTTGAAAACCTAAATGATGTTAGTACTATCTATTTCTACATTTTCGGCACTGTTGTCGTGCAATACTACACTAATTTTACAGGTGAAGCTGAAGCCTCCTAACTTTGTGAGTGCCACGTTTAGAGACAAGAGACAGAAGGAAACCACTTCAGATGTCAGCTGTCATCAACTTGGTTTCCAGGGTTATCCCCGGGTGGGGTGGGGACGTCAGCTTTTGCGGCTAAAATCTCTTAGGTGACTGCAGAAGCACACAACAGAGGGAGTGATTTACCAGGTAATTATCTATTCCTTTCTAAAGGGAGGCTCTCAAACCTAAAAATCAAAGAGGAGAAATTGCTTCCTGCCGCTCGGCGCCAAGGGACAGAGCACTGACAGAATTTAAGAAGGATGAGGCCTACATCCCAGAGGCCAGGTCTGTGTGGCCAAGGTTTCGAGAACTACAGAGAGACGGGGAGAAAACAGATTAAGGGGAGTCAGGTTCACAAGTTTACCTTTCAGGGCCAGCAGGTGCTCCTGTTTGGGGGGATTCACTTCCATTTTGACCGGCACTTTTGACTCAAGTTACGGAGGCGGAAGAGGTTCAATCCCACCCGGAAAACAGAAAAGTGCACGTTTGGGAAGACAGAGCGTCAAACACACTCACAACAGTTACTCCCTTCCGGTGGTGTGAAATTCTCTTTTTACCACGTCCTTCACGGACCCTTCACGGCTTCCTACGAAGGCCATCTCGTGCCTCTTAAGAGACCTACACATAAAATGCGGTTTTTCAGCCACAATCACACATAGCGACTTCAAGAAACCACTCGCCGGGAACAATACACGGCCTCGGAAAAACCTACTTTACGGAGTAACATATCGCAGTGGCACACTGGGATTTGTAGTTTATACAAAACAGCATTGCATGCTGGGATATGGAGGCTCCCCTCGCCCATCCGTTTTGCAAGTGAGAAGAGCTCGTTCCTGGAGCAGGAGTGTCACCTCAAAACTTTACTTCTGTTTTATCCCTACTTTTTTTCTGATCTTTATTCCTTCCATCAATGGCAGACTCCTTAACAACAATAAAAGTAACAAACCACCCATACGCAAGGCTACGAAGCCAAACAGCTAGAGACTAGCGGGAGGAGGAGCGAGGAGACGGTCGGAATAGCCCCGCCCCACGTCGTGCTGCGCCTGTGCGCCAGTGGCGAGCGCCGAGGCCTCTGGGTAGGTGGCTCTCTCCCGCCCCTCAGTTGAAGGCTCTGACGGCTACTTCTGCGGCGCCGCGCCTTCAAGGATGGCTGCCTTGGTTGTAAACAAGCCTGGAACGGGACTAGACTGTGGCCGTCAGGGTAGCCGGGGGACGGCCGTGGTGAAGGTGAGGGACCTTGCGTGCTCTGTTCTCCACCATTGGCCTCCCCTTCGGTTCATCCCGGAGATCTGGCTGCAGCGCCGCGGCCCTGGTTTCGGGGCGGGATGCGCGGCCTCTGGGCTCTTCTCGGCTTAGCCAACCTCGCCCTCCGCTCCGCGACTTTTATCCCCGCAGGCCTGAAGTGGCCGGGTCTTCTGCTCATGCCAGTCCTTTGCTTGGCATCACGTATGGGGACGTTTGTAAATAGGAGCTTATGGGCCAGCGAGAGTGACCTGGGCTGTTCTTTCCCGTGGTCTTGTGTTTTTAGTTAAGCTCAACAGGCATTAATTAGCTATTATTATTATTGTTATTAATTAATTATTATTATCGCCAGGAACTATGTTAGCTATTTTAACTCATTATCTACTTAACGAGGTAGGTGTTAATTACTGTTTTACAGGTGAAGAAACTCAGATTTGGGTTAACACGATGTGTGGCAGAGCAGCGGTGTGTGGCTCTAAAGTTTGCTTTTCCGTATTGCATTACTTCTGTAATCATACATCTATTATTGGTTGATCTGCCCCTTCCACTCATGGTAATAGTTCGTCAACACTTTTGAGAAGTCTCCAACATCAGTATAGCTGGGCATTACGCTAGTATATATGAATTGCCCTATGTTTGAAGTTTGAAACTACCCTGTGTAAGTGCTCCAGGATGCCTTTACTAAAAAAAAATCAACTGAAATACGTGGAATTCATTTTAACCCTACACTATATATGTGGAGAAATCTGGAAGGGAGGACTGATCATAATTGTTTCTAGAATAACTTTCAGGATTACTTGTAATCTGAGATGTTGATATTTCTCATTCCTGGCTACATATTAGAACCACTGAGGACTTAAAAAAACATCAAACAAAAAAAACCTGATGCACTGCTCTCTCAGTTCTGATTAAGTTGACATCAGTGTATTTTTAACATTCCCAGCTGTGATTTTAATGTGGAACCAGGTTTGAGGACCACTAGGCCAGATAATATCTGAAGTTCTTTTAAGATCTTGAATGATAGCCACCTATGATTTTTCACCTAATGTTGGTTTTATATGACAACACATAATACATTTCTGCTCACAACTATATTATCAATCAATATTGGTGGTAGTTGATTCATCTGACCTTTATATATTGAAGTTATTCTGAGATGCGGATGAGCCCTCTTATTATTATTAGGCATGTTGTTTGATTGAGATTTTTTTTACTGAATTGTGTTTTTTCTAAGTAGAGGATAACTGAAGATTATTTTGTAAAATTAACTTGAATAGGATGTCATTAGAATGGATATTTATGTATCTACTTTTGTCACCGTTTGCCTTAAAATCTCAAAAATATACCCAAATCTGATGTAACTCCAGTTTGTTATAGCACACAGTTTGATATATTAGGGGCTCACTTTGTTCATTTTCATCTTTACATGTAAAATGTGCCTGAGCTGTGTGTGCAGTAGGACAGTCCTTTTTGGAAAGAGCCTCATGCCATAATTTATAAGAAGTATGGTAGCATAAATTTTTTAAAAATATCATTGTCATTTTCATAGATGAAAGCAAGAAGTTTTAATTGGAAGGTAAAGGTTGAAGTATACTAATGCTAATGTTATGTGAACTGGCCTCTTGCTTACTGAACAAGTTGATGACATGGCTTTTATCTTTAGGGAAACAAAGGTAAAAATCTATATTTTGAAATTATTTACATTCAGAAAAGAATCAGGAGGGCCAGCTGAGTGGGCTCGTTGGTTAAGAGTTGGCTTGGGACGCGAGCTCTGAAAAGCAGGGCCGCCGGTTCGGATCCCACATGGGCCAGTGACGCTGCACCCTCTACAGCTAAAATGGTTAACAACAGCTCGACCTGGAGCTGAGCTGCCGTGAGTCGCTGGTGACGGCGTAGGCTGCAGTGGGCTGCCATGAGCTACCATGAGTGGTCGGCAGCCAGCGTGAGCAGCCAGCAGATGAGCTGGCGAGAGCTGCTGTGAGCCGCCATCAGTGGCTGTCCAATGACCGGTGACCGATTTGCCTCTGCCGGAAAGAGCGCAACTATCACAATACCAACATGGGCCAGTGAAGTGATGTCGTCCACAACTAGACTGAAGAACAAAAGGACTGTTCCCCTTCCCTGATTCCCCAATGCTGTTCCCCTCCTCCAATTCCCCAATAAAATCTTAAAAAAAAAAGAATCAGGAAAGTTTCTTTTGAATAGATAGCCTTTGTAGTCATTTTAAAATATGGTCTGGTTTATTAAACTTGATTTACATGGAATAAGTACATGTAATGAAGTCCTCGTTGGCTGGCATATTGGTGAAGTTTTTAAAATTAAAGATTAAATTAAAACAACGAGCTTTTTTCCTATCTCAAACTTATACTATTAGCCAAAATTCCTATTCATAACTATTAAAGAATTCCTTACTCTATTCTTTACCAAGTTGATAAAAATAGTCTAGTAACTTTATTTTTGGATCCGTGTTTGGTGTACTAATCAGACAGTGGAATTTTACTAGTGCTTTTTGGAAAATCTTGTGGTAGTAACATGAGTAAGTTCTTTTATCTTGTGTAATGATAAGATCAGAGATACAAGATATGAATGAACTAAGTAAAATTTTGTTTCATTGGAGTTGATTGTCGAAAGCAAGTAAAATTTATTATGGTGTTGCATTAATAATAGCATTTATAAAAATGTTGCATTTATTTCATATCTAATTCTGTGGTGAATATATTTTCTGTATTTAGTAAAATTTGATATTTAAGTGAAACTTTTTTCCTGCCTTTTAAAAAAATATAGGATAAAGTGGAGAGTGTGTGTGTGTGTGTGTGTGTGTACATGTGTATGTATAGTATATATAATTTATGTGTAGCTGTTCCCCAGCTATTTTCCTTCTTCATAGGGAATCACTGTTCCAATATAATCAGTTTTGTGTGTATCCTGCTGGAAAGATAGTATGCCTGTATAACAATATATACATAAATATATGCTCCCGTTTTCTCCCCACCTTTACACAAAAATTAATATGTTCTGTTTATCTCTTTTCACTTTGCTTTCGTTTGAAATCATTCTGTGTGTGTACATAAAAAAACTTCCTAACTCTTCCTCACTACATAGTTTTGCAGTATATGAATGTACCATAATTATTTTCCAGTCTCGTATTGATGTATATTTACTTTGTTTCCAATCTTTTGCAAATAGTGCTGTAAAGAATAACACATCTTCTCACACATGAGTGACATATTTGTAAGATAAGTTCCTGAAAGTAGAATTGTTGAGTCATTCAAACTTTTGATAGGTATTGCCAAATTGCCTTCAGAGAGGCTATATCAATAAAACATTTCACAGAAACCATCAATGTATGAGAGTATCAGCTCACCCACCCTTTCACCAACACAATGTTATCAACCTTTTTGATCAAATCTGGAAAAAGTATACTAGTGTAGCTTTAATTGCATTTTATGTGTTTTGAGAGATTGAACGTCTTTCTATGTATTTAAAGAGCTGTTTTCATTTCCTTTTTTGTGAATTATGTGTTACATTTAAACTTTTTTTGAACCAAACTGGGATGTAAGCCAGTTATTAATTATCCGTTTATTTACAGTGAAAGATGTTTGCATTTCAGAGACTTAAATCCAAAATAATTGCAGAGTTAAGATTAAAATTTTAATGAATTAAGTCTGATTCCCATTCTGGGTTTCCTTCTTGTATTGTGTATTTGTTGTGGTTGGTGGTTGGTTGGACTGTTTTTACATTTTTGTTTTGTTGGATTTTATTTATATAAACACGTAGGATTGGTATTTGGAATACCCTGTTCCTGAGGCTTTTGGGTCTAACAGGGAAAGACAGGCTGGAAAACCAGTAAAGGTATTCAAGTATTTTGAATGTTAAGATAGACATTTACTCATGGTACATGGGGGCCCAAGTGATAGTGGTGGTCATTTCATTTGGACTAAGCTGTGAGTAGACCTGAGATATGGTATTTAGGAGTTTGTTGGTTTGTTAATGTAAAAAAGCATCCACTAGAAAAATGTCTGTTTTGCTGTTTCCTCAGCATTAGCATACAGAAAGACACAAAAACAGTTTGCCATGTTTTGGGAACTTCTAGCTGTTTGATGGAGTTTGGGAATAGAGCCTGAAAGGGGGTGGCAATGAAGCAATAGAACAGAGACCAGATTGTAGCAGGTGGTGGGCATAAGAGTTTGTGATGCAATTAAACAGTTCAATGGGGTATTTTTAAAAAGTTAATTAAAATTATGAAACACTTCAGAAATATTAAGAAATAAAAGTACCAAAAATTCTTCATTGATGTTTGTTGGCTAATTATAAAACAAAAACTCATGGGCTTGGGAATCAGAATATGCCAATTCTTGTCACCTTTTTTTTTTGATCGACTGCATGGCTTTGGGCAAATCATGGACCTGTAATTGGAACTAGATAGATAAAATATTTTCTAACCCAGGGGCATATTTATTAATTGAGAAAAAGGAATTGAAATTTAAGTTGAAGACGATTGCTCTCTTGCCTTTACATTATGTGTTGTAAATGGATACTAGAAGATACTTCAAAATTGCTTATAGCCTTTTCTTAACAAGTCCTTTATCATTTACAAGGGTGAAATACATCCTAGCAAATATTTCAAATTACTTTCTCCAAATTAATGCTGATTTTTTGGAGGTTAGGTAATTGCGGAGATATTGTTTAAGAACCCATCTTTGCTAGAATTATATATTGTTACAGATTCAGATATAACGAATCAAGCCATAATTTTCAAAAGATAAAGATGATGTTCATTTACAACATAATCAGTCTCTAACACTTAACATTTCAAGATTTCACTCTGATTTAATTTTGGTATGGTCTGTCAGATGAAATGATAAATGGTGATTTAAAGTTTTACAACCTAGACAGTTTTTTATGGAGGAATAAAATAATTTAACAAGATTGATTCAAAGAGCACATATTCCCTTTTCAAATGATAGGTGCTGGAGTGTGGAGTTTGTGAAGATGTCTTTTCTTTGCAAGGAGACAAAGTCCCTCGTCTTCTTCTTTGTGGCCACACGGTCTGTCATGACTGTCTCACGCGCCTGCCTCTTCATGGAAGAGCAATTCGTTGCCCCTTCGATCGACAAGTAACAGACTTAGGTAGGACAATATATATGTATGTATTTAAGATTTAAAATTGTTTGTGTAATACAAATTTCATAGAAAATTTCTTTCTACTTGATTTTTAAAATTATATAATTCAAGGAGGTTTCAGTTTCTATTAAGGCCAGTAGTTTTGTAACTATAAACTAGCTCACTCTTCTGTGGTAATTTTATTTCATCTTCTGAGTTGTTTCTATTCAGCACTTCCTTATACATGAAAAGTTTTAAGACACCTGAGAAAAACATGCTAACCATATTCAAAGAAATAAAAAAATTCATTTGCTTGAAGCCATTAATCCAACAAAACAATGTTTCCATAATAAATGAATAGGCCAATAATAAAATACAGATAAGTAATTTGAATGTCAGCATGTTTTTATTTGTTGGTGTCAGAAACAGAAGTATTTCTAGCTTGTGATAATGACTCATTTCTGTTAAAATAAGTTTAATATTTTTTGTGTTTTTTTTTCAGTTTCCTGTAAAGTTTTAAAATTTCACTTTATAAATTTCAAAATGAGTTATTACTGTGGGATGCCAGATTTGGAAATAACATTTATTAACATTTGAACAGTTATTTTACAAACATAAGTTCTTTAAGTGTACTCTTTTTGATAACAGAATAATCTCTAAAATAAAGAGTTTAAGGGTGTCATTTTTTTCAGGTCAGTAGCACTATTTGTTTTAGGGCTATTTTAATGTATTTATACTATATATCAGGTGGAACACGTTCAAAATAATTTATCCACCAAAAAAAGAAAGCAAGAATACCCATATTTTGTTTAGATTGGAAAGCTTTTTTTTTTAAAGATTTTTATTGGGGAATTGGGGGATGGGAACAGCGCTGGGGAATTGGGGGAAGGGGAACAGACAAGTTGCTGTCCTTTTTGTTCTTCAGTCTAGTTGTGGAGGACATTGCTTCACTGGCCCAAGTTGGCACCATCATTGCGCTGTTCCCGGGCGAGGCAGATCAGTCGCTGGATGGCCGCTCACAGTGGCTCTTCACAGCTCACACCGGCTGCCAGCCGCTCACGCTGGCTGCCGGCCACACACGGTAGCTTATGGCAGCCCACTGCAGCGGGGGCTGCAGCCTACGCCATCGCTGGTGACTCATGGCAGCCCAGCTCCAGGTTGAGCTGTTATTCACCATCTTAGCTGTAGAGGGCAGTGTCACTGGCCCTCATGTGGGATCCAAACTGGGGTCCTCTGGCGTCCCAAGCCAGCGCTTAACCAATGCGCCACTCGGCCGGCCCAGACTGGAAAGCTTTAAAATGCTAAAAATATGATTATAAAATGTCTTCTTCTAGGGGAAGAGTAAATTTCTTAAGGTTTTGGTAGTCTTTGATTGAAATAAACCTGTAGTATTCCATTTGCCAAAAAACTAATATAGGACAGTGTTAGCATTATTATAGATGACGTTAACTTTCTACTAGCCAAGAAATAATAGCGGTGTGAGGGGGAGATGTCTGTATTTCAACATTCTTTTATTTGGCCTTTTATTCTGTAAGATATCATACTATCTTTATAGAAAACTACAGAAATATACATTTTAGCAATGGTAATTTTGCAAATGGAGGCTGGACCCTTCTACCTTTTTGAGGGATACTGTACCTTCTCTACATAAATTTTAAAAATGATTAAAATTATGAAACACTTCTGATATATTAAGAAATAAAAGTACCAAAAATCCTTCGTTGATATGTTTTTTGGCTAATTATAAAACAAAAACTCGTGGTCCTGGGAATCAGAATATGCTGATTCTTGTCACCTTTCTCAGTGTTTAAATTAATGGGTATTACCATCCTCAGTGTTTAAACTGGAAATTTATGATGGAATGGTTAGTCATATCCTAGGTTGAAATTAAACGTGACTGCTATCATATGAACATTAGGAAAAGCAAATCAATAGCTATGCCTTGAGTATGCATTGTAATTACTATACCTCATAGGTTAGTTTTTTACTGGGATTTTAGCCTAGGGAATATGTGTTAATGACCCTTGATATAGTTTGATATCATTATTTTTTAAAATCTATTTTTAATTGTACTATAGGAATAGTACAGAAAATGTGAAAATCTAGAAAGGTATGAAGAAGAAAAAATCATTTGTAATTCCTCCTTCTAAAGAAGAAATCTGTTAACGTGAGAATCAGAATCAGAATTCTTCTCTAGTCCAAGAAGAATATTATAATAGTAGTTATTTGTGGTAGTTGTCAGTACGATTCAGAAATGTTTCTGGTTCTTCTTTTCTGTCCACTTGGTAAAATTATACTTCTCTGCCCTCTTATATTATAGTTAGGTATGACTGTGTGATTTTCTTTTAACCAGTGAAATATGAATAAAATTGCAGTGTTAACTTCCAGATAGAAGCTGTTAAGAAGGGATGTATTGTAGGGAAGAGTAGTTTTCTTAAGGTTTTGGTAGATTTAAGTAAATACATAGCATGATTTGCAGTAACTCCTTTTCCCCACTGTAGTGAGGTGGTCCTGGTGGTTGGAGGCTCAGTGGCCTGTGTCGCTGATCATGGACAGTAGGGAACACAACCTTTCTTGTCTTCTCCAACCCCTGAGCTGTTGTATGAGCAAGAAGTAAATCTTTGTTGTTTTAAGCCATTGAGATTTTAGAGTTATTTTGACAGTTACAGAAGTATTAGTGATATACTAGGCAGTAGATAGATACTTCTAGGAGTTTATGTGTACATGTTCATTATATAATGACAATATTTAGAAGATTGTGAAGACAATATTTTTAAATAAAGGACTCAGTATACTTCTTTGCCATTATGTAAGTAGAGTAGACACAACTCAGCTTGTTGTAGAATATATGTGAATAATTAAAACAATGAGAAGGCCTTGTAGGGTGGCAAAGTTCAGGGAGAAACGCTTGGTGGTGGGTTACATAAAAATACGTGGGAAAGGAGGTCACAGAAGTCAGATAGAAGGCTAAAGATATTTAGCCTAATTTGAACATGTTTTGGAGAACCATAAGTGGTTTTCCTTCCTCCCGCGCTCGCTCGCTCGCGCTCTCTCTCTCTCTCTCTCTCTCTCTCTCTCTCTCTCTCTCTCTCTCTCTCTTGCCTTGTTTTTTTTTTACTTTAAGGAAAGGTCAGCTAAGACAAAGAGGATCCCTGCAGCCAGTGACCTCATCATCCATTTATTTATTTGTTTATTTTATTTATTCATTCAGTGAATATGTATTAGGTCACAGCTATGTGTCAGATGGTATTTGTGCATAGAAGCTCACCATAACAGACATATTCCTTCTAACTGCTGAGGGATCTGGCTTTTATTTATAGGCTCAGGAAGAGAGAGAGAGAGAGGAGAGAAGAGAGAGAGAAAAAGAAAGAATGAATGAGAATGAGAATATGTATGCATGCACATATGCATGCTCATCTGACCTTTTATGGTCAGTTCTGGGGAAAGAAGCATTGTTCCTTATTCAAATGCGCCTAGAGTCTTACCTACCTAAAAGGGATTGTTATCTTGCTTTGGTGTGAGGCTCTGTATATTTGCGTGAGAAGTTTATACAGTGACAGGCTTCTATAGGGTTCTAGGTTAGAGGAGGGGTGGGGGAAAATATTATCTTTAGTTGTTTTAGTTCCAGTTCAGTTAGAGATGGATTTATTTTAGATTAAGTGTATCTTTCATACAGTGGTTTTCAAACATGAGTCATAGCTTATTTGTGGTCATGAAATCAATTTAATTGGTTGTGACAGATTTTTTTAAAAATGAAATAGAACTAAAAACATCAGTGTGTTACACACTGTAAGGATCAATACTGGTGAGGGAAATGTTTGTTTCAGTTATATATATGATACATGATCCTGTAAATACAGTGTAAATTGTATTTCTTACTGTACGTTGCTATAAAATATTTCAAAGCACTTGTTTTAAAAGTCAATGACAGGGCCGGCCGAGTGGCGCGATGGTTAAGAACTCGCTTGGGATGCCAGAGGGCCCCGGTTCGGATCCCACATATGAGGGCCAGTGACACTGCCCTCCACAGCTAAGATGCTGAACAACAGCTCAACCTGGAGCTGGGTTGCCATGAGTCGCCGGCGACGGCGTAGGCTGCAGCCCCTGTGGCAGTGGGTTGCCATGGGCTACCGTGTGTTGCCAGCAGCCAACGTGAGCGGCCAGCAGCCGCAGTGAGCGGCCGTCCAGAAGCCGGCGACTGATCTGCCTCGCCAGGGAAGAGCGCAATGATGGTGCCAACTTGGGCCAGTGAAGCAGTGTCCTCCACAACTAGATTGAAGAACAAAACGACAGCAACTTGTCTGTTCCCCTTCCCCTAATTCCCCAGTACTGTTCCCATCCCCCCAATTACCCAATAAAAATCTTAAAAAAAAAAAAAAGTCAATGACAAAATAGGATTTATAAAGTTAAATGATAGAAAAATAATATAACTTTCAAGTGTGTTTCTACTGAGAATGCTGAAGAGTTCTGTTTTTTAATGATGATATTAAGATAATTGTTCTAGCATAAAAAGAAAATTGGGACAATTTGAATTGTTGAAATTTAGACATTATTAATGACTAAACTATATGACTTAGAAATTACTATTGAGGCTTGAGGTAAAATGATTAATATTTCATTCTGTTAGATTTGGATTTTATTTTTATATTCTAGGAGATTCAGGTGTCTGGGGATTGAAAAAAAATTTTGCTTTATTGGAGCTTTTGGAACGACTGCAGAATGGACATATTGGTCAGTATGGTGCTGCAGAAGAAGCCATTGGGATATCTGGAGAGGTATTGATTAAATTTGGTGAAATATTTATTATAAGCATGAATTTTTTCATTTAATTTAAAATACTTGCCATTAAAAGCACAATATTACCTCACTTACTCCAGCAGGCAGGACCCCAGAAACACAACTTTTCACTACATTACAGTTCTTAAGGCTCTCAGTAGAACAAAAGCAAAACGAAACTTGAATTCCTTGAAAATACTATACCCAAACTATGTTTTGTGTATAAACTTGTCTCTTTATCATAGTTCAGTTCTGTCCAAGGGTAAAGTGTAAGAGTAAGAAGATTATGGCAGAGTAAAGACACGTAAGCTGTATTAAAGTAGAGGATGCAAAAGTGAAGCAGTCAATAATACTCAAAGAAAGAGGAATTCCATGAAAGAGGCAATTTAATGTAGAGTGTAGAGGTAAAAAGCCTTAAAGATACCAGTAGCTCTTGTGGGAATTACTACTATTAAATATTTTGATAAGAAGGGTAAATTATTGGTAGGTGTATTTTCTTCGTCCAGACGGGTAAATATCCAGTAATTATTAGAAGTCCACTAACAGAGGTTAAAATACATTTTTAACACTTCAAGAGTTGTCTGCATAGCTCATAGACTGTTCTGGATATAAGAATAGATGTAGTAGATAACAGTTAATGATTTTGGTGATCAACTTTAAAACCATATATTTAATATCATGGAAAACATATCAGATTGATTTCACTTCTCTTTTATTAGATCATGATTTCTTAGTGAATCAGCGAAATGAATTTCAAACTGAAGACTTGTTTTCTGAAATTTTTTCAGTTCTTTCACATGCTGTATCTTTTACCTTGTTTCAGAAGACATTAGAGTAATATCTAATGTTGACCTTGTAAGTTATTAGGTCTGGAAAATAGAAGACATTAATTTTTTATTTTACATATGCACATCTCTCATAATTGCAAACAAAACTGGTTAACTTTGGGTTCTTTTTATTTCATGTGATATTGAATGACATCATTGATGTATTTTTTAATTTTTATTTCTGGAAAAATTTATGCCAAATCTCTCCCTTTCCAATTACGGTCTTTTAATATTCAGCAAAAGTTTCCATAGCATTCTTGGTTATCTGACATGGAAAACTTTCCAACTTGAAATGCTGTTTAGTAATTCATGAAAATTAGAAAAAATATATAAAAGCTTACATATAATATGTTATTTTTTTAAAAATTCTTTAAATCAGTGACTTTCAACCAGAACAGTGCAATGGACTCAACCTGTGGAGCTTTAGAAAAAAATACACAAGCTCAGTCTTCATCTACACTCTACTGAAATAAATATTTTCCAGGTTGAAGTCTTGGTATCCCTGTTTTTAAAAGCTTCCCAGCTGATTCTGATGCACACCCCCTGGTTATCTAAATGCATTTGTGCTTCTCTTCTTCCTATACCTCATCATCACAAATAATATTTAAAGCAGTAGATGGGTATTGAATATTAGTTTTTTTAGTCTTTAAAAAAGACTTCTAACCTCTATTGTTTAGTTTCTTTGTGTAAAGTGAGGGGATTTCATGGCAGATATCTTTGTATTGATTGTGAATCTATGAGAATAGTTTTACTTTTGGTTTCAAATTCATAGCATTTATTGATAATCAATTTTGGGAATAGCTTCTCACTCATAGAAATGAATACTTTCTCAGTTGAGTAGCAAATGACTTTTGTACTTAATTACCAGTATGTTTTCAGATATAAAGTCTGGTTAGTTAAAGAGATTATGGGCTTTTGTATTTCAAAATTTGTTATGTTTTAGTGATTGGGGTTCAGTTTTAAGACATTAATTTTTTGTTTATCAGAGCATCATTCGTTGCGATGAAGATGAAGCTCATGTTGCCTCTGTGTATTGCACTGTATGTGCAACTCACTTGTGCTCAGAGTGTTCCCAAGTTACACATTCTACAAAGACGTTAGCCAAGCACAGGCGAGTGCCACTAGCTGATAAACCTCATGAGAAAACCATGTGCTGTCAGCATCAGGTGCATGCCATTGAGTTTGTTTGCTTGGAAGAAGGTTGTCAAACTAGCCCACTTATGTGCTGTGTCTGCAAAGAATATGGAAAACACCAAGGTCACAAGGTATGAATATAATTAAACTTGATGACTCTACCTAGTTTAGCAGCCCCCCATTTGTTTTCACTGACTTGGTTCTTTATAGTAAAAGCAGGGATTGAAGAAGAGTTAAATGATGAATGAGTGGAGCTTGATAGCCTGAAAAGAAGTGAGATTTAATTTCTGAATAACAATAATTCAGCGAGGCTTCATGATTCTTTCTTTACTGAAAAATAGCTTTCCAGCAGGAAACAAAGTTCTCTTCCTTGTGTGCATGTTTTCATAATTAATTGGATTGTTTTGACAATATTTATGGCTACTGATGAACTACTGCTTATGATAAAATTTGAGAGAGAGTCTCTTGGGTTCTTATTTAGTGATAAGTGAACTTCCAAATTTTAAATTATTTCTGTGCGAGATAAATAGTTTTTGCATGAGCAAATTAGTATTTCATATGCTGTGCTTTTTTGTAAATGTGTTATAAAAACTTGTGGCTGATGCTGTTTTTTATTAATAGGAGTGAGTTAAATAGCTGTTTATATCATTAGTCAATACTATGAGTTCTTTTCTATAATTATATTGCATTTTATAGCATTCAGTATTGGAACCTGAAGCTAACCAGATCCGAGCATCAATTTTAGATATGGCTCACTGCATACGGACCTTCACTGAGGAAATCTCAGATTATTCCAGAAAATTAGTTGGAATCGTTCAGCACATTGAAGGAGGAGAACAAATAGTGGAAGATGGGATTGGAATGGCCCACACAGAACATGTATGGATTTTTGTTTCTTCTTTACCTTTTTGCCTGTTTTCCATTTTACCTTTTACCTCCTAGTATTTATTGAGCAGGTGCACTGTGCCAGTACTGCACTAATCACTGGGAAATTTTTTTTAAAAAAGTCTCTGTCTTCATGGAACTTATAATCCGTCATAGAAGAGAGACAGTTTCAGGGGTGGTAACTGTTTATTTTGTGGGAGAAGTACAGGATGCCTTGGCACTGCATAAAAAGGGCAGCAATTTAGGTGAGTCAGGTAAGACTTCCCAGAAGACGCGATATCTAAACTGAGATTAGAAGGGATTTAGTCAGGGAGAAGAGTGAGGTGGAGAGTGAGTTGTCCCAGAGAGTGAAGCATGTGTTAAATGGATAGGTAACTGGGAGGGTCAGGCCCGATGTCTGAGTTTCTACTTTTTCAGCTGGGCAGATGGTATATGCACTAATGGGAGAGGAAAGGAAGTGTTTTGGGAGGGGAAAATGGGACCAAGGTGAAAGTTTAATTTGAATGTCAAATTATTATTTCTGTGAAATAATGAAGGGGAGATACTCTCCAGTGAATCAGAGAATTGGAAAAACAATGTGTTTAACTTTTAAGAAATTTGGCTGTGAAGAGAAGAAGGAAGGAACTATGGTGGTAATTGTAGTTACTTTTTAAAATTGAATTATAGAGAAAGGAATCTTTTCAGATGGGAATATAAGATACAGGTACAGACAAAACGTAATGTTTTTCTTTGGTAACCAAACATTTAAAGCTAAGTCACTGAGGAATAATGTTAGAACTGCTCCATCAAATATAGTAGCCATTAGCCACATGTGGCTATTTAAGTTTAAATTATTTAAAAAATAAATTCAAAATTTTAAATTTAGTTCTTCAGTTTCACTAGCTACATTTCAAGTATACTTCAAGTACCTGTAGCTACTAGCTGCTATATTGGACAGCACAGATACAGAACATGTCCATCATCACAGAAAGTTCTATTAGACATTGTGCTAGAGTGGAAATATTTTATTCATCCCCTCAGCAAATATTATTGACACATAGCAACTGCTAGACACTGTTCTAGCACTGTTCTTGCTGAGGAGACACCACTGTACATGTCAAAAAGCTCTGCTTTTGCATACTTTACATTCTACTGTGAGGAGAGGGATGATAAGTAAGTAAAATACTTATGGCAGAAGTATGTTAGGTGCTTTGGAGAAAAACAATTGAAAGGGGGAGTGCACATTTATATGGGGTATTTGAGGACAGATTCCCTGAGAAGGGGACATTGAGCAAAGACCTAAAGAAGATGAGAAAGGGAACCATGCAGATATTTTGGGGAAGAGCATTCCAGGCAGAGAAAAAACAAGTGCAAACAGGCCCTGAAATTGGAGTGTGCCTGGTGTGCTTAAGAAACTGTGAGGAGGCTAAGTAGCGAGAGTAGAATGGGGAGGGCCATAGCAAGAGTTGAAGTCAGAAAGGGCCTTATATAGGCACTTGCTCTTCTTTCTACCAGGAACGCTCTTCCTCAAGATATTTGTGTGCTTCCCTCTTTTACCTCCTACAGGCCTTTGCTCAGATGTGCCTTTCGTAGGGAGTCTGTCCTTGAACACCCCATATAAAGGACTTTGGCATTTACTATGAGAGGAATGGGAAACCATTGAAGACTTTTGAGCAAAAGAAAAATTATCTGTCTGACTTACTATTTTATAGGATCAGCCTGGCTGCTGGGTTGAGAATACATTGTAGAGGGCAGTGGTAGACTTAGTGAGACAATTAGAAGACTTAGAATAATCGGGTGGGAAATGATAATGGCTTGAATCAGGTTGATAGAAGTGGAGGTGCTGAGGCATGATTAGGTTCTGGATATATTCTGAAGTCCACAGAATTTGTTGAGGGACGAGTTTTGGGATACAAAAGAGATGTATTAAAGATGACTCCAATTTTTTTGTCTTGAACAACCTGGAGGATGGAGTTGCTATTTATTGAGTTGGAGGAAATAGTTTTGTGGGTAGAAGAGACTGGAGATTAGGTATTCCATTTTGCTTGAGATGTCATTTAAAAAGTTGGCTATCCAAAGGCTGTAGTTAAGGGGAAGTACCTAGTGTGGAGATACAAATTTTAGAAATTTTTAAGGATATAGATGGTATTTAAATTTTCATTATTTCACATACACAATCTTTGTTATGGTTACAGTTGTTTTAAACTTTTTTTATTAAATTTATTGGGGTGATAGAACTTATTTTTATTTCCTTAGGTACCAGGTACTGCGGAGAATGCCCGGTCATGTGTCCGAGCTTATTTTTCTGACCTACATGAAACTCTGTGTCGTCAAGAAGAAATGGCTCTAAGTGTTGTTGATGCTCATGTTCGAGAAAAACTGATTTGGCTCAGGCAGCAACAAGAAGATATGACTATTTTGTTGTCCCAGGTTTCAACAGCCTGTCTCCATTGTGAAAAGACTTTGCAACAGGTAGGTAGTTGAAACATGGGAAGGACATAGTTTAAGAAGGAGGATTAGTAAGGTTAAGTAGATAATTACCATAGGCACACACTAATCTGTCTTATCACTTTAATAAATATTTGTATATTATTATTACATGTTACTGTATGCATTAGTATTGTGCTTAGGACAGTCTCTAACCTTAAATTACTCCACCAGCCCTATCAGTGTCCTCTCCTTCATGTGCTCTTCCAACCATGAAAACATTGGTCCTAGAACTTAACTTCTTGTCATTCTTCAGTCATGCCAAGCCGTTTTACTCTTCTTTGCCAAGCATGTACTATTGTTTCTGCTTGGTGGGCTTATAACTTCCTCTTCTGATAATGGAAAGCCTTCTTCAAAGGCTAGTTTAAATATTTGCTATTCTTTGAAGCTCTCTCTTCCGTATTCTTTTTTTTTTTTTTTTTGAGGGGGGTATGTTGGATTTGTGTTCATGAGTGGGCAATATAAGGCTAATTATTGCCCTAGGAATTCCGGATAAGCTGCAGTCTATCTTATCTTTACTGATATATTGCTAATTGTTGATTTCAATTCACTGTAGAGCTAAACTTTTTTTTTAAAGATTTTATTGGGGAATTGTGGGAGGGGAACAGCGTTGGGGAATCGGGGAAGGGGAACAGACAAGTTGCTGTCCTTTTGTTCTTCAGTCTAGTTGTGGAGGACGTCGCTTCACTGGCCCATGTTGGTGTTATCATTGAGCTTATCCCGGGTGAGGCAGATCAGTCGCCGGCCACTGGACGGCCGCTCACGGCAGCTCGTGCTAAATGCCAGCCGATCACACTGGCTGCCAGCCACTCACAGTAGCTCATGGCAGCCCCACAGCAGCCGATGCCGTCGCCGGCGACTCACAGCAGCCCAGCTCCAAGTCTAGCTGTAATTCACCATCTTAGCTGTAGAGGGCGCAGCATCACTGGCCCTCATTTGGGATCTGAACCGTGGCCCTGCTGCTCAGAGCCGGCACTCCCAAGCCAACTCTTAATCAACGCGCCACACGGCTGGCCCATTGAGCTAAACTTTTGACCATTGTAGAGTTTTTTTCTCCAAATCAAATATCTGATTAGACTTATGAATGTGACCAGGCTGTAATCACATCAGTTTTAGCTGTCATTTAGTCCTTATCACATTGAATTATAGTACTTCATGTATATTGTCTTTGAGCTCCAATCCTATTCTTCTGTCTTCTGCTTTGGAATGTTGGGACTGGAACTCTAGAAACCACATACCTGCTTTGCCAGCTGGCTCCATGTTAGTTTAGCCTCTGCCAGTAAGGGACAGTAGAGAGAGACTGGAAGGCGGAAGTGATTTCTTGTGGGTTCCCATTTGCTTGGGAATACCACCTTTCTGAGATATCTGAGTTTGAGCTCTGTGGATCCCCACCTGTAAATTTCTAAGTTTTAATCTAGCATCTCCCCTTTGTTACCCTAGCCCTGGGTGTGGTAGCTATAATTACATCTAGTTAACGGTTCTTCACATTAAGTTCTTTCTGTTCACGTAAGTGTGTGTGGGTTTTGTCTCCTGATTTGATCCCGAATGATACAGTATGAATATTTGTCCTAGATGTTGACGAGATGAATCTTGTTTATCTTTGTAGCTCTAACTTCTTTGTATCTGGATAGAAAGAACTTAGTAAATACTTGTTCAGATGGGTAAGCAAGCCACACAGCAAAATCAAAATGGATTATGTCCTAAATCACATTTACTTGAAAACTTTATAATAATTTTATATTTATTGTATTAAAAAGTATGTTTGTAGTTACTGAAATATTTGGAAGTATTTTAGTTTCTGAAGCATTGTGTCGAAGTGGCTAATAATTGTTAATGATGTGGTATTATCTCACTATGTTAATGCTAATGAAATTGGAGTCTGATTCATTCTTCATATGTACCTATTAGTTTTGTTCTGATTTTTGGCCATTAGAACTCTAACCCCAACCAATATTCTTAAAAGTTCCTGCCACAAAGTAATTGAACAGAGGCATGAATAGAACATCAGACATTTATTACCAAATTTGAGAATAAAACCTAATTATCCCTCTCCTCTAACTTCAAGGCATGATGCTGAATGGTGAGGATTTGTTTATTCATTTAGCAAATATGTAGTGAGGGCCTACTATATGCCACGTACATTCTAGGTGCATGTGATATATCAGTAAGCAAAAAAAGCAAAAAGCCAAAATTTTGTGGGATTAGTGTTCTAGCAAGAAGAAGACAGACAATAAGCCGTAACCATATTAAATAAGTAAATTATATAGTTTATGAAAAAGTGATAAGAGCTAAGGAAAAAAGAAAAAGTGTGGAGGTACAGCAGATTGTATTATTAAATAGCCAGGGTCAGGTTATTGAGACAGTGAAATTTGAGCAAAGGCTCAGAGGAAGAAGGGAAGGAATTAGTTCTTGCCCTACTGGGAGGAAGAACATTACAGCCGAGAAAATGGTTAGAGCAAAAACCCTAGGGTAGCATGCCTGTGTGTTTGAGAAACAGAAAAAGAGGCCATGGTGGCTGGAATAGAGTAAGTGAAGGAGGGAGAAATGGAAGCTGAAATCAGAGGTAAGAGGTAATAAGGGAAGCCTTGTGGGCCATTGGAAGGACTTCAACTTCTACTAACTGAAATGTGGAAACCATTATGGGGTTTTGAGCACAAGAATGACTTGATTTTACTTTTGAAAAGGATCATTCGGCTGATGTATAAAAAATAGATTGGAGGAGGACAAAGATGGAAGGAGGCTGTTGTAGATGCTTAGGAGGCTGTTGTAGAATTCCAAGTGAGAGAGAAAACTGGCTTGGATAGTGGGGATAGAAGGGCCCAGATTCTGGATAATCGATAGGATTTGTTTATGGGGCATTAGGGAGGAGAAGGGAAGACTGACTTCAAGGTTATTGTTTTGAGCAATTTGAACAATGGAATTGCTATCAGCTAATATGAATATGCAACAGTGAGCAAAAACCAACACCACCCTTCTGTCATGGAACTTACATGTTGTTGGGAGATATCTGTGTTATGAAGAATATATTGGCATGTGTGTAGAATATCTGGAATAATATTTAAGAAACTGGAAAGTGCTTGACTTTGAGGAAAGGGCCTGGAGATCTAAAGTGAGAGAGAGGCTTGTCAGTTTGACCTGTAGTCTTTTTTTATTTTTTTAAACCAGTACATGTATATCTTAAATTATTTTTAAAACATTTTATAGAAGTACAGTATACATACAGCAATGTGTTCATAAGTGTTCAGCTGGCAGAATTTTCAGACTGGACATTACTGTATCACCAGTACCCAGATCAAGTAACAGAACATTACCAGCACCCCAGAAACCCTTCAGACTCCCTTCTGGTAACTACTTGCCTTTTCCCTCAAAGTTAGACCACTATTCTGATTTCTAATGAATACCTGATTTTTGCCTATTTTGGTAATTAATATAAATGGAATCATACAGTATGAACTCTTCATGTAATTTCTTCTTTTACTCTGTATTATGTTTGTAAAATTCATATCACATTGAATTGTGGCCCATTCTCATAGTGATAGAATATGTTGCATTTGTGAATATACCACAGTTTATTCATTCTTCTGATGATAAGTTGTTAAATTATTTATTAATGCCTGATTATAATTGTCCTAGTCAAATTTACATTTAAATTAACTCTGAATACTGTAATGTTAAAAGAGCTTTTCTTGAGTTTTGATGATACCTCTTTTTTCCTTATTTCTTTAACATGTTTACAAGAAACACTGTGCTTTCTTTCCTAGGATGATTGTAGAGTTGTCTTGGCAAAACAAGAAATTACAAGGTTACTGGAAACATTGCAAAAACAGCAACAGCAGTTTACAGAGGTTGCAGATCACATTCAACTGGATGCCAGCATCCCTGTGACTTTCACAAAGGTAATGTACCATATTCATTTTTAGGTTGGTTTTCTGACAGATCATAATTGTTTACATCCCATGATAATCAGCTTGAAAAGACAAGTAAGAAAGTTACGAATCAGAGGACTTAAAAAAAACCAAAAACTTTTATTAGTGGAAAATAAGGAGTGGTATAAGGAATCTCCCTGTACCCATCACCCACTTTAACTCTTAAAAACTTTTATTTTGGCCAGCCCAGTGGCTCAGTTGGTTAAGAGCGCAAGCTCTGAGCAATAGAGTCATCGGTTCGATTCCCACATGGGCCAGTGAGCTGTGCTCGAGCTGACTTGCCAACAAGCGGCCGGATGGCTCAGTGGCTAGAGTGTGCGTTCTTAGCAACAAGGTTTCCGGTTCGACTCCCTCATGGGATGGTGGGCTGTGCCCACCCGCAACTAAGATTGAACACAGCACCTTGAGCTGAGCGGCCGCGAGCTACCGATGGGCAGCAGGATGGTGACTGGACTTGGAGCTGAGCTAGCTGCACCCTCCACAGCTAAGATTGAAGGACAACAGCTTGGTTGTTCCCCTTCTCCAACTCCCCAACACTGTTCCCCTTCTCCAACTCCCCAATAAAATCTTTAAAAAAATAAAAAGGAAACAAAACAAAAAACTTTTAATTTCATCCCCCCTTTACCTACACCCCTTTCTATCTGCAGTCTCTCAGGTTATTTTAAAATAAATCCCTACATATTTCATCCCAACATCGTATCATTTCATCTAAGAAATATTTTCGTGTATATTTCTAAAAGGTAAAGACGCTTTTCAAAAACATAACAAAATACCATTATCACAACTAAAATATTAAATAATAAATAATACCCATTCAGTTAATATTCAAATTTCCCAGATTGTTAAAAAAATTTTTTTTTAAGTTGCTTGGTTGAGACAGAATCCAAACAAGGCCTGGATGTATTTTGGTCTCTTTTAAAGTGGATCCCCCGTAATTTAAAAAGGTTCATGTGTTCCATTTTGCTTTCTATTTTTAGGGACTTTTTAAAAAAAACTTTAGTGTTGTTTTATAATTATGTGAAACATTGACATATATGATCCAGAGTCAAATCTATAAAGCAGGGTTCATTCAGAGCAGTTTAGCTTCTGTCCCTGACCCCTCTACCTTTTTCCTCTCTTCCCCATAGATAACGATTAAGATTTTTTTCTTAGTTTTATTCATCATTTAAAATAGTATAGAGAAATATTTGTATACATTTATTTGCACACTCCCTACAGTTAAAGGTTGAATACCTTACATACTTCTGCACCATGCCCTTGTCACTTACGAGTATGTCCTGGAGAACACTCCATAGCAGTCAGTATATAGTGACATTTTCTGTTCCTTTTTTACATTTGCAACATACTTTATTGTGAGGATGTACCACATTTGTTTTTTTTATCATGGCAAAAAACACATAATATAAAATTTACCATCTGAACCATTTTTAAGTGCATAGTTAAGTATTGTTAAGTATGTTCACATTGTGTGAAACAGATCTCCAGAAAGTTTTCTTGCAAACTGAAACTATACCTTATAAACAATAACTCGCATTCCCTGCCACCTGACCAGCTGCTGGTAACCACCATTCTATTTTCTGCTTCTTTGATTTAGACAACTCTAAATACTTCACGTAAGTGGAATCATCGGTGTTTATCTTTTTGTGACTGGCTTATTTCATTTAGCAAGATGTCCTGTAAGTTCATCTATGTTACAGCATGTGACAGAATTTCATTGAATTTTAAGACTAAATATTCCATTGTTTGTATATATACATTTTGTTTAGCATTCATTCATCAAAGGATGTTAGGGTTACTTCCACCTTTTGGCTATTGTGAATAGTGCTGTTAGGAACATGGGTGTGCAAATATCTCTTTGAGACCTTGCTTTCAATTCTTTTGGATATATACCCAGAAGTGGGATTGCTGGATCATATGGTAGTTCTATTTTTAATTTTCTGAGGAAATGCCATACTGTTTTCCACAGTGGTTGCACCATATTATAACCCCACCAACAGTGCACAAGGGTAATAATTTCTCTACATTTTTACCAACAGTGGTTTTTGGGGTTTTTTTTGATAGTTGACATCCTTAATTCGTATGTGGTGCTATCTCATTGTAGTTTTGATTTGCAGTAATCATAACATGATTACTGATGTTAAGCATCTTTTCATATGCTTCTTGACCATGTTATATCTTCTTCAGAGAAATTTTGTACAATTCCTTTGCCTATTTTTTAATTGAGTTATTTGATTTTTTTGTCAAATTGTAGGAATTTTTTCATATACTCTACATATGAATCCATTGTTAATCCATTGCAAATATTTTCTCCCAATCCTTAGGTTGCTTCTTCACTCTGCCAACTGTCCTTTGATTCACAAAAGTTTTTAAGATTGCTATAGTCCCATTTGTCTGTTTTTGCTTTTGGTGAGTGTACTTTCAGTGTCATATCTAGGAAATTATTGCCAAATCCAGTGTTATGTAGCTTTCCCTCTGTTTTCTTTTAGGAGTTTTGTAGTTTTAGGTCTCATATTTAGGGCTTTAATCCATATATTTATAATCCAACTATATATAATTATTATATCTTCTTTGCAACTTTAGCTTTTTCTCACTGTAATGACCTTGTCTCTTATAAGGGCTTCTAACTTAAAGTCTGTTTTGTCTGATGTTAAGATCACCATTTCTGCTTTCTTTTTGGTATGATTTGCATGGAATATCTTTTTCCATCCTTTTACTTTGAGCCTATGTGTGTCATTAGATATAAAGTGACTCTCTTGTAGACAGCATATTGTTGGATCTTGGGTTTTTTTTTTTATCCATTTAGTCAAACTTTGTCTTTTGATTGGGGAGTTAAATCTATTTATATTTAAAGTAATTATTAATAGGTAAGAGTTTACTATTGCCATTTTGTTAATTGTTTTCTGTATATCTTATAGCTTTTTTTGTTTCTCCTTTCTCCTCTTACTGCCTTCTTTTGTGTTTTATTGTTTTGTAGTGAGTGACATGGTTTGATTCCCTTCTCATTCTTTATGTGTATATTCTATAGATTTTTTTTGTGCGTTTACCATTTTAATTACATAAAACATCTTAATTATAACATTCTATTTTAAATTGATAACACTTCAATTGCATACAAGAAACCTATACTACCCCCTACATTTTGTTATTGATGTCACAAATTACATCTTTATGTATTGTATACCTATTAACAGGATTATAGTTTTAAAAAATATTTTTATTTCAATTCTATAAAAATTAAATTTACGGACCAAAATTACATTATACAGGTTACTATTTGTTTATGTATTTACCCTTACCATTTTATTATTTTATATATCTTTGTGTTCGTGTCTAGTGTCCTTTGGTTTCCATTTGAAGGACTCCTTGGCATTTCTTGTACAGCAGGTCTACTGGTATTTATTCCCTCAGCTCTTGTTTTTTTGGGAAAGCCATTTTTTTCCTCATTGTTATTTTTTTAAGATTTTTATTGGGGAATTGGGGGGATGGGAACAGTGCTGGGGAATTGGGGGAAG